TTATATTATTGCAACTCTGATATAATTATTAGTTTGTTTGTTTGTGCAACAAATCTGTAATCTAAAATTTTCTAAAATACATAATCTAATAGGGAAAATTTTTAAATTATAATTTTCGTCTTAAAAAGGAATACGTATTAATTTATTATTATTTATTCTCGACTAAATAATAATAGTTTCTGTTAAAATGAATTATTGTTTTTCTTTTATTGAAAAATCCAAGTTGTGAAAAAATGGAAGTTTGGCTCTTTTTGACTGGCCTATTACCAGGAGTAAGTCGAAGTTTCAAAGTTTGAACGCTGCCAACGAGCGCAGCACGAGATCATTCAACGACAATAATTAATTATCCCTTAACGTTCGCATGAAAGCATTCATCGCTGAGGTGGTCGAAAAGCCAACCGAGTGTTCCAACTTTCGAGGGAGAGGGGAAGGAAACCTTATGAATACGTTTCGCATGAGCATTTTAACCCTTTTTTTTTTTGCACGAAGAAATGCTTCCTTCATTTTCAAAGGATCCTTCTTTGTTCTTACCTATTGTTTGATGGCCAACCTTTTTTTTTTTAGCTCGACTCGCATTAAAAGTAGTCTCGTTTCGTGTTACAGAACTGAAGTCGAAGTCGAAGAACCATTACAGGGCACATAGACTTTCCTTTTGGTTGAATCTCGTGCCTGATCTTCATAAACCTGGTACCGAAGACGTTCCCAGGTCGCATCATCTTTTAGACGCGGAACAGGTACATTCATTTATTATAATAGACAATGAAACATTATTTATTAAATGTTTAAAGGAAAAATATTTTGTCGATAACGTAATACTATTGAAATTTCAGGTACCACCGAGATTCATCCAAAGAGTACCGACAACTGCACGCACGACGACATCGGAAGTAACGATCGTTGATAAACCACAAAATGGTTCAACTGCTATACCAAGCGAATTAGCTTTCGAGGATTCGACCGGTCAACCGGAAGACGGTTTTGCAGCTTACTCGACTGCACTCAGCGTAACGATAGCAATTGGTTGCAGTCTTCTAATTCTAAACGTTTTGATATTTGCCGGGGTCTACTATCAACGTGACAAAAGTAATCAACACAGTTGTTCGAAGAAACGTCAGGAAAACGGACAAATGCCTAACAATATATGCGGCGAATTGGAAACTAAAAATGCGGAGAGACATCACATACAACACATACCACCACCTGAATTCGCTGACCTGCAAAACAATAGTTGTCACGTGCCGATGCCACCCCCACCTCCTAAAAATACAAAACCAGGAAAACCAACGCAAAATTTAATTATCAGTCCTAATCAATTGCAACAGGAAAGTCTTGCGATGTCGGCCGCGGGAACCCTAAAAAAAGGACACAATCATCAAACACAGATCATGGAGGAACTAAGAGTTTGACTCTAGGAGTTTCTACCTTACCAATGCGTACCACCATCACGGATCCATCCAATAAACAATTACTCTCGATAAAAGAATGGGGGGCCTATCGGTTAATCGGCTCGTCAACACGTTCGTACGCACATTTTATTCAATCTCTTTAGAAAATATGTCACGATATTTATTAAAAAAAGAGATAGAAATGTAATTGCGCGCACGTACGCACACGTACAAGAGAGAGAGAGAGAGAGAGAGAGATGAGTATTTGTCTTCGTCGTCTTCTTTATTAACGATATGTGTCGATAGTCGACGTCGATTATGCCAATTGACGACTGTTTTCTACCTTTAAAAAATAATCAGAGATATACAAAAAAAAATAAAATAATAAAATAAAATAATAAAAAAAAAAAAAAATACTTTACGACCAACTGCCGAGTAAAATTTGTAGCCAGTGAAATCGAGAAATTAATCTGCCATTATAAAATCTTAGGAGAAAACCTCGTAACAGGATGAAATTGTGACCTTTTTAAATTCGTAAACGTTTGAACTTTCGTCCGATGGGAACACGTTAACAAACAGGTTTCTAATTTAAAGGTCGAACTTCACTCCGAGGATTGATATTTTTGTCAGTGCTATTATTCCTCGACAAATACACACACAAACACACACACATATAGACATGTACACTACGTAAAACACACGGACCTGGTAAATATTTTACCTAGATCATTTTCCAACAGTCGCGCCTAGATTTTTAAGCGAAGCTGCGATATTATTCGTCGCTTTGCACGTTTCTCTTAAAAAAAAAAAAAAAAAAAAAAAACAAAAAGAAAAAAAAGAAAAGAAAAAGGACTCATTATAAAAAAAAAAAAAAAACAAAAAAGAAACTCTGTACATAATAATCGCATCGTAAATGTAAAATTGCGTTTTCTAACGCGAATAAAAACGCGTGGATTAAATCGGACGTATAAATTGACAAAGGGAAAAAAAATTCATAACGCGTAATGTGCTGTGCGAATCCTAAATCATTCGGGCGATGAAGGATTTCTATGAATGATCTATGAGGAAAAAGAAAAAACCAAAAAATAAAATAAAGAAAAAGAGGATTAAAAAAAGAAATAAGAAAGAAAAATGTGGGAGTTCAACTCGTTTAGAATTAGATGACTCGAGATTGAAATTTTCGTTCCGTGTAAATTAAAACAGCATATCTTTATCTATACGCGTTTCCGATGTAATCCCATTGTAAAGTACATTGTACATAAGTACATATTTCATCATTTTGTTCGCTGTTTCACAATTCAAATAGACTGACAATGGATTACTCTTATTGAGTAACGATTCACACGTACCAGAACGAATTATCGGAGCAATGTGAAGAAAAATAATACAAGAGAAAAAAAAAAAGAAAAAGTAAAAAGAAAAGAATAAGTTAAATAATATTAATCTGTTTTTATTATATCTCGTGAAGAGAAAAAAAAATCGAACTGCCGTCAGTACTGAAATCAATTTTTCTCGCGTCGATGATATGTAATACGTGTTCTCATTTTATTTATTTATTTATTTATATTCTATTTCGGATTATTCGTTTTGTTTAAACAAAAATACGAGCACAACGGCGTACGATCGATATTTGAGATCACCAAGTCGACTAATTTATAATACAATTATTACCGAAATCGAAATTAATGATCTCGATCGTGTAATATTAATAAGAATAATAATATTAAATATTCAATAAAATAATAATAATAATAATAATACTAATAATAATAATAATAATAATAATTATAATTATTATAATAATAATAATAATACTGCCAAACGGGGAATGAAAGAGGGAAAAAAAAAAGAGAAAGAAAAAAAAATAAATACGAGAAAAATCACAGGGGGAAAATAAATTTTAGAAAAAAAAGGAAACGATAGGAAGCGTACTCTTATTAGCGAATAATTTAGGTATTAAATTATGGAAAAGGGATGATGACGAGAATGAGCGAAAAATCAGCAGCGTTTACCGATCACAGTGACTACGAGGAAAAAATTGAATATCATTGTTATAACGTAAGAACAAAAAGAAATTCCAAAAAAATAAAAATGTTTTTTCAAATATTAATACACAATACGAGGAAAGGGAATCGCGTGGGTCTCTTGTCTTTCGTCGATTAAACGAATCCGATAATATCTTGATTTTATTTCTTTAATTTGTTCATTGCACACTTCGAAAAAGAATATAACATTGTAAATAATTATGTCAGAGATAAATAAATTATCAATGATTCGCTATCGGCGTGAAAGACAACGACGACGACGATAATTACAAAAATCTAGAAAAAAGGGAAAATGTTAAAAATTAAAAAATGAACGAAAGAAGATTGAAATATTGATTAGAATTTACACTTCATTATATATACTATAAATAAATATGTGTAAACGAGAGAATCTAATCGTAGCACGTGAACAGGAATTAAACGCTGACGGTAATTTTAAATTTGTATATAATTGATATTATACATACAATAAAGTAATACGTAAAACGATTACCACCAAATTCGACGAATCATAAGATCACAAAGTTTCGCCGATTTAAAAAGAAGAAAAACAAACAAGGGAAAGAAAAAACAAACCGGCATATCTCTCCTAATTTGTGTTTGTAATTTTGTCTTCGTTGGGATATTTTAAAAAGAAATCTAAAGAAAAAGGAAAAACATCGTTTATCAGAAATAAAATAGACGAAAATTTGATTTATAGCCAAGTGCAAGTGATATGTAGTACTTAATATACTTTTTTGCGACCTATATCTATAATAATTCTTATATTTTTTTATTTTATTTTATTAGTTTGTATCACGTTTCGATACACACACAATCGATCTCTTGAAAATATTTAAATAATTTCCCATTTAATTAATCATTTAATCCTTTCGTTCTCCTACAAACTTATATAAGTGTTTCTTTTAATTTAAACAAAATAAAAACAGATACATACGTGTAACAGGAGAAGTGCACAAGAAAATAGAATAAAAAAAATACAAAACTCGAGGAACGAGTGAATGTAAAGGTAAGTGATTTTTGTTTCTATTTCATCTTTTTTTTTTTTTCTTTTTTTTGGCCAAATGATTATTATCCTTGGCGAACACAAATCTTTATTTTCGTTCGTTTTAAGCTTCACTATTTTAATAATAGGCGCGCGACATACAGTTATGACAAATTTGCAAAAATTGCCCTCTTTCTCTTCGAACTAATAATTACATACGGGGAATTATGCGTGTCTAAGACAATAGTACAAAAAGATCGATCATTGTTATTTTTGTTTGTATCATTTTGTTTTTCTCGTTACTTTGTGTGTACGTGTGTGAGAGATTATTTCGTTTTTTTTTTTTTTTAATATATATATTCTTGTTTCATATTTTTTTTTTCTTCTATGGGTTAGTCGTCGTAGAGAAATAGACGAACTTTGTGCTCATCGGAGATTCCATTCCGCACTTCCTCTTTTCTTTTTATTCTATACATTTTTTATGCACAATCGACGAATATTTCTAATCATATACTCGATACAAATGTTTTCTGGCAGCATATACAAGAATGAAATGCGAAAACAATTATTTTCTGTTTCCTATTACGAAAGATGAACGAACGCAAAGAATAAATAAATAAAAATGGTAAGTATACAAAGAAGAAATATATAATAATGCGATTATCGCATTAATACTTTTTACTACGATGATAATAATAATAATTTTAATTAATTTTTTCTGCCACTTTTTTACGTTTTGTCGATCATAAAAACTAGAAAGAGAGAGAGAGAAAGAGAAAGAGAGAAAGAAAATATTTGAAATAAATCAAAATGATTACTTTAAACTCAACTCTGAAATAAATGCATATAATATTTGTTTTTTATATTGTTTAAAACAAACTCTAGTTTCCTTTGATCTTCTCCATTTTCATTATTTCTCTCCGATAGCGTTAGTTCGTCTGTCGTAAATAGGATAATCGTTTTTAAATGTAATATAAGTACGAGTCCTAAAGTTTACATGTGTGTGTGTGTGGGTATGTGTGTACAATAATTCTGTGGTGTGTACGGCATCAGCTACAGTTTATTTAATTAAATAGCTTACACGAAGCTAAAAAAAGAAAAAAAGAAACAAAAGAACAATAATCCGCGATTTGCTACTCACTAGTGCTGCGTGTTCTTCATTCATATTTTTTTCTTATATTCTTTTTAATATATCATTATAATTATTATTATAATTATTATTATTATTATTATAATTAATAATATTATTAACTAGTTCTTTATTTTCCCCCTTGTGTGAAAATGTCACGTTTGAACTGTAGCGATAAGGATAAATTATAGGAAATTAGGAATAGTATGTTATTATTATTATTTGCTTTTTTTTTTCTTTTTTCTTTTCTCTTTCTGCATTAATAATTTCTTTTTTTTTCTTTGCTTTAATAGGCTCGTGACACCAGAAATCGAGCAAGCACAACATCGATTAATTCGATAAACGCTTATAAATGATATATCCGCTAGTTTTGTGCTTCGAAAAATTGAATTGGGCCCATCTCGCTACTTTAAATTTACGAACCGCATCCATATTTTTTTTAAATCGCGTTATTTTCTTTCTTTTTTTTTTTCTTTCTCTCTCTTTCCTTCCTTCCTTCCTTCCTTCTTTCTTTCTTTGTTTGTTTGTTTTGTTTTTTTCTTTTTTTATGTTCGTTTAAATAAATGATTCGCACGATGCCGTACGACGACAATCAGTCTCTCCTCGATGAAACACAAACGGTATTGTTAAACCATTCTTGCATTCAAACGCTTTAGAGCCCTTTATAAGGACGATTTAACTATTTCATTTTCTAATAATAACACGATTATACAAAAATCGCATTCGTTTTCTATCTAACTCTCTTTTTTTTTTTTTTTTTTTTTTTCAGGCCGCGTGAACTTTAGCTATAACGGATAGAAGACAAATTATTATTTTTTTTGTTGTTTTCCTTTTTTTTGTATAATTATTATGATTATTATTTCATTGGTGTTCTCCTTTATAAAGGGCTTAGCGCTGGATCAAACGAGATCCGTTCGTAAATCGGTTTTTCGTAGTTTCTCGTTGGCCTCTTTTAAAAGGATTTAATAATTAACAAAAGACAAAACTCTGGCCGCATATTAACAATTAAAATCGTACATTACGCGTGATTCATAATAAATAACGATTTACGAACGGATTTCGTAAGGCAGATCGATTTAAAAATGGAATCAAGCTATTCGTTCGGAATGTATTCTTCTCTTTCACAAAATGATGACATTTTGTAAGTTCGTACATACATACATACATATGTATACAAGTAATTGAGTAAATCAATAAATAGCAATAATAGCATGCTATCAAATTCCTATTTTTTTGTTGTTGTGTTGTTTGTCTCGAATTTCTATCACGAGATTCGTAGAAAATGCAATGAATAACAATGAATAACAATGAAAATACAACGGTGAATAATCGTAGAGAGATCCCGGGTAAAGTTTATCATTTTGCATATACACACGACGTAATTTAATATGTACTACGTAATATATCTCGTGAAGTTTTAAACTTCAGTTTAGTCGTGTAGCAATATACTCTGTTTTATTATTATCCAGTGAGGGTTCTAACAATGTATTTCTAATTCGCTATTTACAAGATCGCATTTTTATCGTAAGTCATATTAGGCGCAACCTGGGATCAGCAAATGAAAAAATTACAAACTTTTTAATATAAATAAATAGATAAAAATAAATTATTTAATATTAATTCGATTGACTAATATAAATTGGATTTTGTTTGTTTGTTAATTGAGATCCCTGATAATGACGTTGTTGCGCCTAAAACAACTTCGAAAAATATAAATACGATCTTGTCTATGTATGCAAGATTCGAGTATGTAATATTCAAATACTTATCGACGACAACACTCACACTACGCGTAAGATACTTTCCTAGGCGAGTCGTACAATTTAATTAACGATGAAGAAGAGCACGAGGAAAATTACAGTGTTCTTAACTCGCTTGATTCCATCTCTAACGGCGATCATATTTTCCTTTTTATTTTATTTTATTTTATTTTATTTTATTTTCATTTAATTTAATTTAATTTAATTTAATTTAATTTAATTCTTTTTTTCTTTTCTATTAAACGTCAAGAAAAACGTCTATAAAGATCATTTACACATTATAGATCCTCGAACAATCGTTGTAAATATATTATACATACACAAAGTGATCCACATTTTCTAACGTTGCATTACAATTACAAATCCTTTTTATTACAGGAATCTAAATGATTGAATTTTCTATTTTATTTCTTCACATACGTAAAATGTACTAGTTTAAAAGTAGATTATTAACAAATTTGTAATTACCACAAAGTTTTGTTGATTTAAAACGTAACAATACCATATCATTTAAAGTAAGATTAAAACAACAACATTATGCATATGGATCACCTTATTTATATATTAATATATGTACTCACCGAATAATAATTTCGAACTATACATAATCCGCAACATACTTTCAGTCATTTCGTTAAATGAAAACTCGTCGTATATGCGTTCGAACGATCGCACATGTTAAGTTTAAATACATTTTTTAATTATTCCTGTTTGTCATTGTGCGTAGGTGTCAAGAGTGAATTTCAATTCTTTTCTTTCCTATTTCAGAAAAAAAAAAAAAAAGAAGTAATAAAAAGAAAAAAATAGGAAGCAACAATAATGCTAACAATTATATCTCTCGCGTATATTGCACATGTAATTTTGTTTGATATGTAACAACGTAAGTCTTTTATGTATGCTCCGATGTATGCGTCAGAATGAACAAATTTACATAAAAATGAAAGCGCAAAATAGTTACAATGACATTATTTTTCTTTTACTATTCATATTCAATTGTCGTAATCATCAATTGGAAATGCAAATTGACACTTGATCGTTATTAACGTTAGCTTTCCACCAATCGATCGCCGTTATTAATTCAGCTAGAGAAAAATTCTCTGTCGTTCTTATGTGTTAATCTTCATATTTTCGTTAGACTTGAAAACGCATAATCTACTAACAACACGACAAATATGACGCACTATAACACGAAGCTCTCATACTTAAATCTTTCGCAGAAGAAGAATTTCGATGAAATTATTTTCATTTTCATTTCATTTCATTTCATTCATGTCTCAAATCTCACATATCATTTTCATTTCTTTTTTTTTTTTTTTTTTTCCTTGTTAAATTTTAAAAACGATATAAAGATTCACAGGCTGATCGAGTATAGTGTTATTAATTTATGTATATAATCGAGAACATCTTGTGCCTTTTAAAACGCATAATAACTCTCTATTATTTGGGCCACGATGTGTATGTATTATTTATGTGTGTATATGTATGTATTTATGTATATATATATGTGTGTGTGTGTATGTGTGTATTAGAAACATCAGAAGAAGCCAGCAGCATCTCGCAAAAATTTTTAATTATTATGACGTGCGTGATATATTTTTTTTCTTCTTGCGTATGTGTATCTGTGTGTCTGTGTGTATACATATTATTTGTTCTGTTCTTTTTTTTTTTGGTACTTTTCCTTTTTTTTTTCCACTTTTCTCTTTCCCTCGTGTGTATTCGTTTTCTTAATCGAATGATCCTTATGACAGGATAATATATTGGATTGGCAAATAAATTCCCGTCGTTTTTTCTTTTTTTTTTTTAAATTGAAACAACAAGGGAGAATAGTAGATTATTGATTAATTAGTTGTCAATTTTTATTGAAAAATAAACTTTCAAAAAATTTCAAACGGCGTAAACTTAATTGCCAATCTAATATTTATTATTATTATTATTATTATTATTATTATTAATACTTTTGTTGGGTTTTTGTTTGTTTTGTTTGTTTTGTCGGGGGTAGCACAGCACAGCAAGACGCCGAGGTATCGAAAACGCCAACTCCCTAGCAAATACAGCCGCTTTCTCCCTCCGATTCGGAGCCGTTCTGCATCGACGATTGATTCTGCAAATCGACAGCTACTTTTGTGTGTTAAGGTGTGTGTATATATATATATATATACATATGCATATACATATCACTCGAAGAATCTCGTCATTGTGAAATTGGGAAGAAAAAATCCTATTAAATCGACAAATCTTAAAAAAGAAAAAAAAAAAAAATAACATTTAGGTTTTGACGCATCGTTTTAAATGCAGGTTTTTTGTTGACTCGTATAGCACGTGACCTGCTTATACAATTGATTAATTAATTAATTACTATTATGAAAAATGAAATAATGATAAGCATCGTAGAACGCGAACTCATGTTCCATCTAATTGTGTGTGCACGTTTGTGTGTATATGCATGTGACGGAACGATATTTGTAATTTTTGAAAATTTGTCACCATTTCGTACTCGTATTTCTTCTTTTTTTCTTTTTTTTTTTTTGATTTTTCTTTTCTTTGATTTTATGAAAAAGAGTGTGTAATCGATTTTTAAATCTGAATTCACATAATTATTTATACAAACACGATTCTTACGTTAGTCATACAAAGCGTAATTGTTTAGCATCGTTTCGAGATATCAGCAAACACACGTGGTATTTATGTATTTTATTATTTATATGTTACCTTTCGCAAGAAACTAGAACTGTGTTATTTGACGATAAAGCGTATAAAATATAAACTGTTCGAAAATTGGGACGGAAAGTTCCCTATAATAGCTTTACGTATATATACTATAATGTAAGTTTTATAATTTTACGAAGCACCGTAATTAAATATTCTTGCTCGTAAATGTGCCTTAAGTATCAGTTAACTTGTAAATGTATATATAGTTTACACAATAATACAAAAAAGCAAATGCATTTCTATGTGTCTGTGAGAAGAAGAAAAAGGGAATCTCAAAAAAAAAAAAGAATTAAAAAAATAACTTAATTAAATAAATAAATAAAAATCACGATCTTCGCCTACAAAAAAAAAAGAAATTGCAAATTTATAAGAACGTGTTAATTACGAACGGGAATATGAATATATATATATAATTTATATATATATGTATATATGTGTGCATATAAATACATATATATAAATTTATATGCAATATATTACCGAATGATAAGAAATCATTGTAAAAAAAAATATGCAGGTAATCTTTTTTATATAAATTAAAATATTACAATAACAGATATTAACAAAAGTGACGTTAAAATAGCTAGCCATATAGTAGTTATGCTTATCCATATATATGTGTATATATATACACATATGTTACGTCAGATGTGATCAATAAGTGTTACTTTAGACTTCAAGTTTTTTTCTCTTTTTCTTTCTTTTTTCTTTTTTTTTTCGAGCATTCATTGATATCTCATAGTATATTTGCTCTTTTTATTTTCTTTACTTCAACAAAATGACTTCAGTCAATAAAATATATATATATAGAGGCGTGATCAATGCACAAGGAATTAAAAAATGCAATTAAATTGTGTTGATCGTAGCGGAATCGATCGTAGCGCGCGCGAAGTGTTTTTTTTTTCTTTTTTTTCATTTACGAACAAAATTAATTTTAAATAATACAATAATAATAAATATATATTAAATACAAAAAAGAAGAAAAATATCGCTTTAGCTGCTGCTGCTGTTGCTGCTATTACTGCTGTTGCTGCTGCTGCTGCTAAACGTTCCCGTAAAGCTCGTAAAAAAAGAAATAAAAAAAACTTTTACGGTAGATCTTTTACTATCAAACTTAAATTTAATACACTTAAGTTCTTCGAACTCTATTTTTCTTTTCCTCCTTTCTAACAGAAAATTAACAAGTAGAAATAAATTAGCGAAAACATAATAAAAATAAAAATACAAATAAATTTATGAATATAGAATTATTGCTGACGATTAAGAAATAATGTTAAAATCACTCTCTTTTTCTTTCTCCTTCTCTCCCTCTCTCTCTCTCTTTGATTAATAAACCTGCGCCGGCGTGTAAAAGACTACTATTATATTATATCGTGACTGCATTTACGCAATATGTTAATTTACATTGCTTAAATATATTTACTTTTCGTTAAATAAATTCAATAATTTCGAAAACTTTTTCTTTTTCTTTTTCTTTCTACTGATGGTGCAAGGCACCATGCATATCAGCCTTCAACATGCACACAGCATTTTACCTAGAATACGAATTCTTTATATTTATATGTAATACGTACAGTTCGGATAGTAAAAATCGTCGAATATATTGCTCATCGATATTACAGTAAGTACATTGAAAAAACTTGAAATTCTGTTCTTTTTTCCTTCTTGCTTGTTTAATTTTTTGTTCTCATTTCACGTAGAACACAATTAACGTGTAAAAGACAAGACAAAACAAAAATAATACAAAAAAAAAAAAAGAGAGAGGGGGAGGAAAAAAGAAGCATTGCAAAATATAACATAAAATTATGTCTTAAATAAAATAGTACTTACGCGATGAAAAGCCGTGTGATTGAAAAATACTTTTAAAAAATAATACAGAATTAAATTAAGATAAAAACTACGATTTACGAGTATAGCTACAAACATTATTGTGTAAAAGCAGTCCGCTTAGGCTATTCAGTTCGCTTAGACTGTCTCTCGCTATCCTTTTTTTTTACCAACCAAAATATCATTACCATTTAAATACAAGTGCTCTCGTTTTTCACAATATTCATATGCATTATCATCAATGCTGCGAAAAACACAGACCAAATATCATTGTCTCCTAATGTCCTAAAATAAGATTTTAATTTAACTTATTTCAATGTATCCTGTCTACCATTAGGCCGACGGTGGCTTTAACATGCACAACTGCTCTCCGATGCTTTGAGTTCAATTGGTGTATCCTTCAGAACTACCTCTTGCACTACAGGTTTTAAAAAACACATTAAGGAAAACACAAAAAATATAAACGGAAACAAATTTAAACACACTTCTGTCTGAAACACAAGAGCGTTACAAATGAATATATGGTGAAAATTATATCGAAACAATGAATAGAAGAAAGATCAAAAAAGCTTCTAAATTAAATAATAAACAAAATAAAATATAAAAAAAAAAACCAATAAATACCCCCTCTAATGTGAAATATATTCTTATCGTTGATAGAAAAGAATAATCTCTTGCATACTTTCAAATAACTATCGAACGTAGCAAAACTGTGGTTAAAATAGCTAACGCATATTAGATTAATATCTTGTGCTTATAAAATTAGACGATATTTAGTAATTAATCTTTTTTGGTTGTAAACTTTAGTTAATTTTCGGTTCAGAATGTTCATTAAACTTAAATACACATATGTGAAGTAAAAAAAAAACAATTACGTAATAGGAAAAGAAAAAGAGGATGATTACGAAAATGGAAACTATAAGGAAATAAGTCTTATAGATAATATAATGGGTGGTACATAATGTTAGTGTATGTAGGAAAAGAAAATGTTAATGCAGCTAAATGAGTGTGGCATGCAAGCATGGATACTAAATATCTTACAGAAAGGATACTGTCTTCGGGAGGTTTATTTTCAGTGGAATCCATGCCGGGTAAAGCTGCTGCTACTCTTCTAAATAGCTGAAAGATGGAAAATTAGTGTCACAACTTACATCTTTAATAAAAATCTGATCGATAAACATAGAATCGATGAGATACCATAAATATAGTAACATACAAATGAATTGCAATGTATGAAAGTTACCTGTTTAACATTATATCCTGCCTTAGCACTAGTTTCGATGAACATCACATTTAAATCCTTAGCTTTTCGTTCTCCCTCTTCTGTAGAAACCTGTCTCTTATCACTCAAGTCTGTTTTATTCCCCACTAGCATGATTATAACATCACTTCCTCTTTCAGTTCGAACATCATCGATCCATTTTGATGTTTGATGAAACGAGTTAGCATCTGTAATATATCATGTGTTATAAAACATTCTAATCAATAATCCAATATCTAATATAAACTTACTAGTAATATCATAAACAACAACTGCAACCGTAGAATCTCTGATATAGCTAGGTATTAGAGAACGAAACCGTTCTTGACCAGCAGTGTCCCAAAGTTGTAATCTCACTGTTCTGTCTTCTAGATACATAGTTTTACTTAAAAAATCTATACCTATTGTAGCCTGAAACACAATAAATAAAACTATGTACATCTAAGAACATTAATTTTTAATTTAAAAAACGTATGCGATGTATTAAATAATTCAGATCTTTGTATTAAATATTTAACTTAAGTTATATTGAAGTGTTATGTTTTAGTATTAAAATATTCTACAAAAAAAATAAGATAATATTTAATTATTTATCTCATACCTGATACGTGTTGTCGAAGCTGTCATACATAAATCGTGTGATGAGAGAAGTTTTACCAACTGAAATAAAAAGAAATTGTTTATATAAATGTATGTGCAAAGTATTGAATTGATTTTTATATGCAATGAAAGGTTGATTCATTTATTTTTCATACAAATATATATGAAATAATTAATGATGTGAGATTATTAATGAATAAACTTATATATGAAAACAAAAAATATAATTAGTATAATATGAATATTAATAATCAATATAGATCTAAAAGAAGAAACAATTATTTGATAAATCATTTATAGATCAATATAAATAGAAGAAGAAAAAAGGATGTTATTAGACTTAATCTCACAACATGCTAATTAATTATATTTGTTAATTAGTATACGAGGTACTAATAAACACTAATCTATATATACACATATATAAATATAAAACAAGGCAAAAATCTTGTAAAAAAATGTTAAACCTGTCAAATACAACATTTGCATACCCAGGTAGAAATCTCCTAACTATTGGCGTTCCGTATCGTTAATGAAAAATAATTTATATATACGCTTAAACATAAATAATATATTTCTATTAAGAACAATTAAACGTAAAGCATAATTTGAAGTAATAAATTGAGATTATTTTGAAAGTAATAATTATTACCGAAAGAAAAAGATTATTCGAATAAGTTAATTTAAAGAAGAGATGAACGACAGAGACGCCGATTTCGATTACGAGAAATAAACTGTTGGCCGCGGTCAGAAATATTGATCCATAACCTAGAACGGTCCTTGAAATTAATACGAGTTTCATCAATATATTTAAGTTTCTTATGGAAAACGAGATAAACGAATAATTAAAGTATTGTCTCGTCGAAGAGACAATATTAGAAGGTACTTTGATATTGATCCGAAAATCAACGGAAGTATGTTGAAAAAATATCTTCTATCTGTATCTACTCACCGCTCTGTTCGCCGAGAAAGACAAGCTTGAATTTACGCAGAGGGTTACCGAAATCGCCTGAGGACGACATCTTTTCTTCTTTTATTGTTCGTACAAAACTTCGGATTAACTCTAAGATGCACTTTGAAACTATTTAATCGTCGTAGTTATTCATTAATGTTCAAGAAAAATCATTTAACTTTTGACAGATCCTGATGCCACTCCTTCCTTCAATCGCGGGGTAGCCACGTTTAACTGGGAAGTGACGTCATTGGTCAATCGCGAACATGCAGAATTAATGCGCTCACTAGCCTTCAGATGACGCTGTCGACGATGGCGGTCAAATTTAAACGATTACAGAAGAACGAAAGTACTTTTTTCCCTTATTTTTCTCTATATATGTCTCTTCCTTTATATTTAAATAAAACAATAGATAAGAGATAATTTATGGTCACACGAATTATTTCTTTCTTAATTTAATTTAATTTTGTGTCGCTTCACGTGTTATAAAATTTAGTATAAAATAAACGAATATACCAATAACACAAGATTATTGAATAACTCTCTTTTATTTTACATCAAAGTATTTTCTAAAGTTTTATAATATAAAGTTTAAACTACGTAGAGCGATAAGCTTACATTTTACAATTCAGTCGCAAATCGAAATCTAATAATTTACGGAAGCGCCCAAAAGTAAAAAAAATTTTCCTAGCAAAACCTATGTGATGTTATTTGCATATGTTTTTATACTGTTATATAATATAGATAAGTATGTATATATATATANATATATATATATATATATATATATATATATATATATATATATATATGTATATATATGTATGTATATTTATCTTTACAAAAATTATTTTTATCTAATATATATTTCAGTATATAATTATGAGTTAATTATTCCACACAGCCTCATATGCGTTCTTTGTATACAGGGTCAGTCAATCTAACATTTATACTTGAAATATATTCCTTTCACTCTCTTTCTCTTATCTATCGAAAAATTCTTAATATAGAAAAATTTGCGACTGCAATAGTATAAAATTTTTAATAATTTTGTTTAGAAATCGCATTTTCACTAAGCAGTTTCTTTTTAAAAGTATGTAATCATTTTTTTATTCAAAAAGAAAAAACGCTTTCAGATACAAAATTTAGTTGACTCACTCCATATGCATATTGTTTTGTTAAGAATTAATATCTACCGACGATTCCTATTATTATTATTATTATTATTATTATTTACATTCCTGTAAGGATCCTCTATAACGATAGAATTACAAATTAAATCATAACCCGTTCTATTAAATCTAAAAAAGAATACTCCAAAACATATAGGAAAAACAGAAGATAATATTAAAGTTTTTATTACAGCCCGACTAAATGCCAATGGAAAACCCAAATCAGTACCCGGTTGAACGTACACCATGTCTGGATCATCTGCTCTATCCGCTGGTACAACATTTCGACATTGAACAACTCGCAAACCCATTATAGATTTTCCTGGAGTAGTACCACCTATGCGACCATTCATTCCACGTTGTAGCCAGAAGGCCTGAAAGATTTGTTCATGGTTTGTAATATATACTAATTTAACAAATCTATAAAATATTAAATTTAATCCAATAACTTACTTCCAAAATGCACACTGCTATACGATTTATTATTTCCAGTAATATAGTTCCATATGTTACTTCTATAAACATTTTATAATCAATAGGTAGATTCGTTTGTAGTAATTCCGAATCTTCTAAGCCTCTAAAATAAAATATATACATACGAATAGAATAAATTTAAATGATTTTTGATTGAAATACAAACATTAGGAAATATGTAACTAGTTGCAGTGACAAATGTACAGCATGCAGTTAAAGCCTAAGTTGGAAGTATAAACACGATTGATAGATACGTACATAAAATCAAAAAAATCGATGATGACAAAAGAAATAGAAATTCTCAAAAGAAACAACATTGCAGAATCTATGAATTCTGCTGCCAGTCGTTTCCATACCGGTGGTATACGAAATTCAAATCCTGTAAAAAAGAAAAACACTATTCTTAAAAACTCTGTATGATATGATTTTACATTCAGTGATTATGATGAAGATGTAGATTTCAAAATTACTGCATGTCCAGTAATATCTTATCGTAAGCATTTTCAATTTCAATTTAAAACATCAAAGACATACATACACTTTAGCGGATACTGCACAAAGAGACTCAAAAAAAACTATATACATACATAATATCATCATTTTCTTTTCTAAATATAATCTAATGCAGTATTTTTGTATCAAAAGCACATATAGTACTAGCTGAACCTCTCTTGGAATGTGATGCACACGGGTGTTATCGTTATGACCTTCTACCTTCAGCTTCAGCCCGTTGAAAATGTGGCGGAGCAGTTTCTTGTGGTCTTCTCTGCCTTTGTAGATCATTTTGTTGTGGAGGAGTAGCTGTGTTAATTCTTTGCGCACTTGTTGTTGTTGGAATCGAGGAACCAAATGGCATAGCACCTGTAATTATTTTCTTTTTTTTAATATTTCTTACTCTGAAATATTTTCTGATATTTAATAATAATAGCTTTAACGATATCATCATTGAAAGAAAGTCGAATATATATTCGCATGAAGACAAACCTGATAAATTTAAAACTTGATTGGACATCACATAATAAGGAAACATAGCAGCGACACTTTGCCAAGCATAAGCTTCTTGTAACCATTTTTCCAACTTCTTAAAGTATTCAGAACGTTCTTCAGCCGAGCTCATTTTGGGTTCTTCTTTATCTTCCTTCAAACTTTCCTCACTTTGATCTTCGCTCTTGCTGTTATTTGCCATTTTAAACTTTATGTAAAAATACAAAATAAATACAATTTTATTAAATATTACATACAAGATATATGCATATGTATTATCCACGTTATTATAAAATTAACTTTCTTTTTTAATCATAATTAGTATTTCAAAAGATTAAGAAACTTTTGCCAAACAATTTACTGAATCTATCACACACATGCCAAACATGTTAGTCACACACACTTGTGTATATTTTAATAGATACAAAATTTTAGAAAGATAATATTATTATTATATTACATCAATTAAATAATGTTTCTTCTTTTGTTTGTCACATAGTAGATGTACACATGCAGGTAACACTATTATTGGAATATAACTGACGTGTTTAAAATTAAGTGGACAAATAAGTCAAGGTTTCAACATTTACACAACCTTCAGAACAAGTGTCAATATATAATAAATAAACACACAATAATATTAATTTATCTTACTTACGATTAAAAAATGATTATATAAAATGCAATTAAAGAATAAGATAATTCTATCCAACTAGTATCTTCATTTCACAAAATTATAAGAAAAATTTATAAAGATTCTATTTAAATATGGAAGAACAGGATCATCTTGCGTTATTTTATTTCATGCTACGTTTCTTATTTACCATGTATTTCCAAAAATGCATCAGAAGAGATATTAAATTCCATTCTCCAATCACGAAGAAGGAATAAGAATATCTCGTTGCTGATTGGTCGCATCCAATTTATCTAATGCATTCATGCATTCGTATCAGAAATATGATTGGTGGAAATAGTTAGTGATTGAATGGTCTAATCAAATGAGATTTTTTCTAATAAATCGAATTGTTACTAAATAAAAAAGAATAATTCTTTGTCGAGGACAATCTATGTTTACGTTTTTTGGTAATAATTATAATAATATTCTTCGTTTACTGAAAATATAAAGTTTGAATTGTAAACAAAATTGTAAACATGACTGAAGGCTTTGAAAATACTTGTTTGGTAAAAAAGTTTCTTCTATAGTTTCAAATATACACAATGCAATGGAGCGTCTGCGAAGAGGCGCTAGTCTCTCAGGAGATGACGTATTTGGAGTAGTAGTGCAGTAATCACAGTCGGAGTGTGTTTCCATAGAACCGCTACTTCGTCACTCTTACATTATTGAGATAAGTGAGAGACGATATAAATTGTTAGACGTGATTTCGTGATTTGTGTCAAAGAAAGAAGAAATCGAAAAGCAGAACAAAAACTTAATTATTCACGATAGCGAGTTTTATGTGTGACAGTTGATTGAGATTACTCGGGGAAAGGGGTGTGGGCCGACTGAACGCCAGAAAATATTAGGTAAGTCTTCTCTTTTTCTCTATTTTTCTCACTTCTTTTTCTTTTCTCTACCTTTCTATATTTTTTTATATTAATTCATAAATATATTCAATTTAATTTGTGTTTAAAATATTTAATCAATGTTTTATTCAAACTCAATTATTATCAAATAGATTGGCGAGGAAGTGGTGCTCATTTTAGGAATTCCTGCTCACTTGTGATCATACAAATTTAAAAATTGTCAAATTAATATTAATACTTTTAGATAAATACAATAAAGATGTTTGTGTTAGATCCAAAAGTAACTTGCATCTCTATTTAAAGAGTATATAAAGTTATTTACTTGTGACATTTGTAAATGCAATTTTAAATAAAAACATTAGAGTTTACAAACTTTGTACGCTATTAATCATATAGTTTATATATGTATTAGATTAATCAACATCTTTTATTGTAAAATCTTGAAGAATAATATTCATAATTAAAAAGCAAAATAGATATTTTAAGAATTATATTAGTTCAAGTAATTTACAAAGTAGTAACTAGTAACTTCATTTTAACATGGTAGTGGAAAATATAATCTTTCAACGATGAGAAAAAGAAGAGATATAAAAACCGCAAACAGGTTTAACGAAGTTATAGCTGCAAGAATTAGTTTATCAGAATGTGTGTGTGACTCGTTGTAAAGATAAAAACAGTATGGAATGTTTAAAGCGTAAAATCAGATTCAACTGCTTAGATTGAAAGCTTTAATTTTCTCAACGCTTAGATTGGAAGCTTTAATTTTCTTAATGCTTGTTGTTCTTTTCTCTTTAAAAACTTGTTCTTTTTCAGTTTGAGTACACAAATTCATATGGAGATTGTTGAAGATGAATTTCTAAGAATACTAAACAGTTACGTGCTATTCCCCTTTGCTGACACTGTAAACAATCGTACATCAAGCTAAGTCACAGACCTTCGAATTTCTCTCTTGCGGAAAAAACATTCGTTCGTTCGTTAATTTTCTCATTTAAGGAGAAAAAATCAAAATGAGGGATAACAAAAAGTTTACATTGTTTATACGAATACCAATAAAACAGGTCGCTTTCTTATCCTGCAAAGAATTCCTTTTGATAAGTATATTTGTATTTATTAAATGCATTTAACATTTAAAATAGGAATGGCATCAATTGCAGCTGTCTCCGTTTTTCTCTTTTTCTTACATTCTTGTAAGAAAAACAGAGGAAGAGATAAACGTGTTCCTATCGAGCAAACAGATCGTCTCTAAAATACACGCGAGAAAGTATGCTTTTTTATCTCTGTACGTGCGTGTATATGTGTCTTCTGCAACGATACGTGAGCATATTTTTACGAGATGCAGGCTGTCTGGTGCATTTTTGACTGGGGGTGGAGAGGAGCATGAAATTGCTTGCAAAATCCATTTGGATGATTTGCGACGTATCAAATTGGCGTAATCCTTCGAAAATGATATCTCAAAACGTATCATCAATACTAAGAAATTGTTATAATCTACGTACGATAGTAACTAATCTCAACTTTAATATCTTTACACGACATTTTACTGATCTTCAATAACATCGACGTACATATTTGATATCACTCGATGATACGTGTTCTATATATATCGTATTATCAATATATAAATTCCATTAAGATTTAAAATGTCTGTCATAAAAGATACCATTTAGTTTTGTATATAAAATAATTTGAAATAGAAAATGTTAATGTACAACTGTATTATTATCTTGCAAAACCATTGAGTTGATCATTAAATAATGTCAGAACGTTTAGTAGTTTATATTTCAATGAATTACACTAGTATTTTTTATGTTATATGTAATGTTATTTTATTTTTAATAATATACAAACAATTATTATCATTTTAAAACTTTTCTTTGCATGGATAATAGTATATCCGAGATATAGGGGTTTCCACCCGAGGAAAACTTCAACGCTATACATTAAATCCACAAAATCAAATTTATTCGAAATTTTATGAAGCTATAACGTGCCGGTGGTATATACAAATTTTCTTCTTTAAAATATAATCACACCCGATCGTTTGACTTTCTTGCCAAACTGTAAATATCTTTGGAAAGATTATCCGAGCATATATTTAGTCGTCTTCGAAGCTTTTCAACGCGGTTAGATTCGCAAAAGGGTCGAAATGGGGAGGGGGTGTAACTCAAGGGTTTATAAGTGTCACGTTAAAGCCAGGGATTTGATGGGCAGAGACGAGTAAGAGTGGAGATCGTGTGGTATGTCGCGACCAAAGGTTCAAAAGAGAATCACGAAACAAGAAAGAGAAAGACAGAGACAGAGATAATATAGGAAGGTGACTAAAGAAGAGACACTGTGAGAGAGACACGCAAAAGCTTTGAAATCGTGTGTTCTCAAAAGCTACGGAATTCTGTATTCCTCCCTTTTCCCTTCTACCCCTTTTCTCTCTTTTTCTCTCTCTCTCTTCTTTTTTTTGCATCGTACCTAAGAGTTCCGGCAGATACAAAGGCAAGCCGTGTGCCTTTTCCGGGTAAAATTACTACACGCATTCGTGTTCTCCTGGAATCAACAAACGTCTCTCTTTATATATTTTTTTGCTCTTTTATTTTATTTTTATAATTTGTTTTGTATCACGTCTTTTTTCTTTTTTTCGGCTTTTTTAATTTACAAAATTCTCCTTCAGTCTATTTCAATTCCATTACCATTTTAATTTACCCTTTTAAGTTTTTTATTTTCTCCAAGTAATTTCATTACAGCAAATCGTCGGATTTAGTAACAAAAGGGTAGATTTTACGTGTCAGTAAATCGTTACTTTTATTACCACGACTTTCGTCTTTGCTAAAATGAAAAGTTGTTAACTTTGATGTATAGCGTTGGAGATTTTGGTATCAGAAAATCAAATGATTATTTTCAGTTTTAACAACATTTTATCGGGTAATATCGCGCAGGACGAAAACTACTCATTCCTTAGACGTCATGTTTAAGAGAAATAAAATTTCATTACGTTGTATATTACATAAAAACATGGAACATAAAAATAAATATTACGGTGTCGTGACAAGAAAATTTTCCATAGGTTTTAATGTCGCGCCAAATGGGGACTTAATTAATCATTAAAAAGAACAATAAATAAGAATAATATTTTCGCCATGAGAATTATCGTAAATTCGAGTTCTCTTTGTCGTTACTGGATGCGGTCCGACAATCGTGCAGTGAAGCACGTTAGATGTTTCCCCAAGCGAACACAATGGATCGCACTCGCGACTTCCGTTGGTGCTTTATTGGACGCGACGAGCTATAACGCTCGTTTATACGACACATTCGCAAACTCCCTTGCAAAATTGCAACGCTATTCTATTTTCAATAGTTCCTTATAATCATACGAATAATTGTTTTTCGATAAAAGTTAGTAAAAGTAACTGGAAACTGAGAGATTCAAGTAGAACGATATATTCGAATCAAAATATTTAATGCTCCTTTAATGATCTCATTCAAATTGTTCGTATTCATATTTATAAAAATAATAGATTTTATAATATTAATTACCTCGCGATGTTTCTTTTTTTAATAATCATAAAATCAAGATATTTGTTTTGTAGAAAGTTACGAGTCGGTAAAGGGTGAAGATATAAGATAATATATCGGGGAATATTTAGAAATCAAAATTCGTGACGCGTAAAATTCTTTTATTGTTAGCGCAATTTTATTCTGGTCGATGGACGATGGCGGCCAATCGATAGTACGTACATTTTCATCGCTCAACATCCTGTAATATTTTCACGGCGAGAGATCAGGAAAGGAGCGAGGTATGCAAAGCGTCCGATATGCTTTGAATTTTAATACGCGCAAAAGTGGTTCACCCTTCGTTACTCGATATGCCAACGACGCGAATTATATATATACGTATGAAATACTTACTTATATATATAGAAGAGAAAAAGAAAGAGACATACATACAATACATAGCTGCATACAAGAAGACTCAGCTTTTTCCAGACGAAGATCCATTCTATACCGTGACAAATGGATGTTTCTCAACGAAGGTTATATTATTTTCTGCGAAAGAAATACGAGATAAATAATAGCTTCAATTATATTTTCCTCTTGCAATTAGTGTCGTAAAAACGATTAATCAATCGTTCGAACGATTCCTAAATGATAGATCCATGGGCGTAGGTTTTAATCAATTTTTCTTCCCGACTGTTTAATTACACTCATCCTACGGATATTTATCATCTTTTCTTTCACGCCTCGCAGGTGCATTAATATTTGTATTATTTCCATAGATTTAGATTTCGCTATTGTATTGTATTACTCTGCGTATCTCGTTAAATCGATAATTCATTTTACCTAACGATATATTCGATTAATCTTTCGTTAGAAAATATAATCGTACGATACACGGTAAAGAAATAATACATTCACACAAATCATACACCCTTGAGATATACTTATTAAATTCTCTTTTTTTTTTTTCTTTTTTATTTTTTTCTTACAATTTTTCCTCCTCGTGGTTTGCGCACCAGCCATGACCTCCTTAATAAAGGGAAGCCTGTATTTCCGTAGTTAGAAAAAAAAACACTTGGTTTTGCTCCTTGAAAACGAAGGAGGAATACGAAGTAGTTGAGCCTAGTTGATCTAACCGGAAGATATTCGTCACTACCGGAAAGTGTTGTGCAAAGCAATGCCATTAATTAAGATCGGATTATTCAGCCAACAGATCCAGTTTTTCGCTGTTAAAAGAGAGAGCAAACATCGCGTCGAATCGTTTTTGATCATCAAATTCTTTTATCCGTTCTGGTTTTTTCTTTTTAGTTTATCCTTTGAATCATTATGGATATGTTCGATCCATTGAAGTAACTCTAACAGGTTGCATTAACGTGAACCAAAAGTTTCTGGTCTCGTGGTTTCACAATTTCAAAAGAAAATAAATGTGTAAAAAGTGTTGAGAAAAAATTAATTGATTTTTAAAATCACTCAGGAACCTCTTTGTTCGTCAACATTTTACGTAAGGAAAAAAATACTTTGGAATGCTTTAAAAGATTTTAATTACTAGATGATAAAAATAAATAGGGGATGGGGGAAAAAAAATGAAAAAAAATAGGTTATATTGGATAAAGGCAAGTACTTGACGAACGTCGAGCGAAAGTGTTGTTATGTTGTTCTTCTGGAGAGTTTACTACCACCTTTCTTTCTCTCTCTTCTTTCCTCCAACAGCTTTTCCCTTCGATAACGATTACGAAGAAGGAAAGTGGTTTTCGAGTTAGCAGTCAGGCAAAAAGGGTACTTGCCACAAAATCGATGGAAAAGTACGCCTAATGAAAAGAAGGGAAAATCCTATTACATTTTCTCCCCTTCTATGCTTTTTCCTCAGACGACTGAGGCCATCTTGGAAAAGTAAAGTTTTGAAGAAGGAACCTTAACATTGTATCTCTAATGGGAGACCGAGTAAAAGAATATAAAGTCAGAATTATTCATTTTGCAGAATATCCTTATTTAATATTTTTAATTGCAACGTAATATCGGGTATTAGATTCGTAACGTAAAAGTTTAAGAAAAAAAAACAACAGATATTGTCTATTGAAGTCGCATCAAAAAAAAAAAAGGAAGGAACTTATGGGACAACCTAATACAAACGATAATTGAATTTCGAATGTCGCCTAATGAACGAGCTATTCTTCCAATTACACGTAGCTCTTCGTAATTACGTTATCGCTACTCTATACTACTACTACTACTACTACTACTACTACTATTACTGTGCTTGAATTTTAGGTTTTGCACGGAATGCAGCGACGTAACATCGACAAGAATTGAATTTCTCTCGTTTCGATAATTATATTGCACTCCATCGTTCTTTCATTCTTTTTTTCGAAATCTTTTTATACGTTACTACGATAATAAACGTAATTCGAACAATTAAACTCGTATCGATATTACAATATATCGATTTACATTAACTCGGAAATGTTTTGTCGGTGCATCATTTGATTTATAAGTATTTTTACTACTTTATTTTTTATCGCGAAACACGTAAAATATATTTTATTTGTTTATCTTTCATCGGAAAGGAAGATATGAATCATGCAGTTTACATAACAGTAGACGAAACAGAGAATGAGAGAAAAATAAACCTCGTTTATTTTTTACACATTTAATTTCCTTTATATCGTTAAATTATACAGTTGTATTTCATTATATTTCGCATTTTAATTAATTAACAAAAATGTAGTCACTTAGAAAACGTTCATATTTCTCTTCGATGTAAATTGCAATGAAAATAAAGTCGGATATTCGAAACAACATTAATAATACTCGTGTAAAATTTATTTGTAAAATGTATTTATTGTATAAGTAATATGTAAGGTACTCATTTTATTACCAACGAATTCATCATTCCAGCGTGAAACTGGGTCGTTTGACGATTGCACACTCTTCTGAAGAGGCTTATGAATATACATAAATACATACATTAAAATACACATGTATGTATGTATGCAGTTACGCGCGAATTTTTCATGCTCAGGGAAAATTTGTTCTTGTGTGATTATTTCGTTTATATACATACTACGATAAAAACATGTTTGTTAGCTCGTAAATACTTAATGTAAAACGTAAGGATCTTGATTATCCTATTATTTTTATAACGAGATACCGCAGTCATTTTATCTTCAACTAAGATCTTTTTCCTTCCCCCGTTGTTTTTATACACGGTGCGTTACCTTTCCGTACGACGATCGGAGAAACTTATCGCATCAATTAGAATTTCGAGTATGTTCGGATTTGCGTCATGTTTACTGAGAACGCAATCCTGACGCGAATCGGCCTAACTGCATTTCTCGCTATGTTCGTCACGTTGCCGATACTCTCTCGTCTAAACCTAACTTTATAAATCTACAAACTTTTAGCTCGTAAATGTCGGGGAAAAATAGTATTAGTATATCTAGATATTCGTGCAAGATGGCAACTTGATTCGAATACAAGAGAAGTTAGAAAATTTGGGCCAAGTTAAGTGTATAATGATTTAAAATAGTTGGAATTATTTAATAAAGAGTAGTGCTGTTCTATGGGTTAATCATTTATTGCAAAATGAAGATCACAATTTTGTATTAGGGAATGCATAACTTGGTTCAATTATTCATAACGCCTGTGGACCCTAGCTAGAATTAAAATACGTAAAGTATATCTCGGTATGTACATAGACGAGTGTACATCTTTCTACGTGCATATGTATATAGTTGTAATATACACGGGTAGGAAAGTATACTTGACACTAATCATGGATCGTATTTTATGCAGCAAAGAGTCTCATACCTGTTATGCATCTCCGTCGTGATATAGATATCCACATGGATTCCACAACGAATCTATGTATAGGTATACGTTCCTGTAAATACATACGAACTGCATTATTATTCATGCACCTAGATCTTTCATTGATAATATCATATAGTTCGTTTCAATCCCTTGTAAATCGACATACTCTCCTAATTATACAATTAGAAGAACAACTATTTGAAATATCAGTTTGGTGAACTTTTGATTATTATGAAATATCGTCTATCTTTTGCAGTGTTACAATTAGTGGATAGATCTTTCTTATACACTGAGGACTGAAATAAGTTAGGGGCCAGTTCGGGCCCCGGGATACGCGCTATGGACACTGTGGACAGTGCTAACAAACGGCAACCCACCCGTGTCTTTAAAAAATCCAGTCTCAATGGCAAGATCACTGTTTACCTTGGAAAAAGAGATTTCGTCGATCATATAACTCATGTTGATCCTATCGGTAAAGAAACTTCTTATTTTTTAATACTTCTTAATTCTTATAATAAAAACGATATCATCGTGTACGCATAAAAAAAAATGTATAAATATATAAATTTTATAAATATAACATAGAGAGATCGATAACACTTGTGCATGCATACGTAATAGTATAATACAAATATACAAATTGATGTTAATCATTATTTAACCCTTTGCACTATATAATTATTTTTCTTGTCTATTCTCGACCAGTTTATTTTTGTTTCCTTTTACAGTCTCATCTATTTACGTACCATACATCACTTATATAATACTTTGAAAGCACTTTTGTTGTTGTTGTTTTAATAGAACTGTTTTTTTTTTTTTTACTAATTTGTTTTATTAGTTAAATGAAATGTCACGTGTGAGTGGTGAGACTGAAGAGATGTGTAAGGGGAGAGAAGGAAACAAAAAAAGTAGGATCATCTTATAGAAAGCAAAGAGTTTTAAATGAAATTCTGAATCATTTCCAAAGTTATACTATATCTTTTTGTGTGTGTATATATATATACGTCCTGTTTGTATATACTTGAATTTTTCATTGCAGACGGTATAGTACTCATTGACCCAAATTACGTGAAAGATCGAAAAGTTTTCGGCCATGTTTTGGCAGCATTCAAATATGGAAGAGACGATCTCGACGTGCTCGGACTATACTTCCGAAAGGAACTTTATCTTGCTGCGGAACAAATTTATCCCCAGGTGACAAGCTGTCAGCCGCGCAGAGAGTTGACACGTCTTCAAGAGAGGCTAATCAAGAAATTAGGAAGTAATGCCTATCCGTTCTATTTCGAGCTACCACCACATTGTCCGGCCTCTGTGACGTTGCAACCAGCACCTGGTGACAACGGTAAACCATGCGGCATCGATTACGAACTAAAGGCCTTCGTGGGTGAAACTCAGGACGACAAACCCCATAAAAGGTATATTCTCGTAGATTATCGTTAAATTTAACGATTACATTCACGATGAAATCAATATTTTAACGTCAAAATTCAGGAACAAAATTTTAATGCATCCTTGCCATAGATATAACTGACTTTTTTTCATATATCTATAATGAATTTGTTTGTAAACTTTGGTTACATCCTGTGTAGAAAAATAACCAGAAGTTTTTTTTTATTTCTTAACTGTTGCAGAAATTCAGTAAGGCTAGCGATACGGAAGATCATGTACGCGCCATCTAAACAAGGCGAACAACCGTACGTCGAAGTCAGCAAAGAGTTTCTGATGTCGCCGAGCAAGCTGCATTTAGAAGCGTCTCTTGATAAAGAGCTTTATCATCACGGCGAAAATATAGCCATAAACGTGCACATCGCGAACAATAGTAATCGAACAGTTAAAAAGATAAAGGTGTCCGTGCGACAGTTCGCAGACATTTGTTTGTTTCAAACCGCGCAATACAAGTGCGTCGTTGCGGAAGCTGAAAGCGAGTGAGTACCTCCCAGTTAATTTTATCTTCACGTCGATGACAACGATGGTGATGATGATGATGATGATGACGATGATGATGATGGTGGCAATGACGATAAAGATAATCGTCAAAATATACGTTGTTATCAATTTATTATAGTATTATCGCGTGTCGGCGTACAATTGAACCGATAAACGGACGAACTAGTTAAGAGTTTCAATCGATTCTTTTGTTACTTCTTTTTTATTATTTTTTTTTATTTTTCATGTTGAATAGTTTGGGAACAGATGCACTTTAGTTTGAAAATTAAAACAATTTAAAAAAAAATAAAAATAATAATGTACAATGTATAGAAAGTGTATACAGTTTTAATATTATATGCATCTAATTATCTTAATATGATTGAAATACTTTATCGAGTCTTAATACCTTATTATATATTTGATCATGCACCTGTTCCCAAGTTAATCTAGTCGTAATTCGCAGATTTTTTTTCACGATGACGCGTATATAAAATCGATACCGAATAAATAGAATAACGAGTTAGATTTTGGATCCTTCAATATATATATATCACAACACACATCCCATGCTAGGTATATAAAATAAATTTTACATTAGAATCTTGAAATATATGAAAAGGAAAATAAGATGATTGCACTGGCAGTATAGGGGTAGCGCCAGGATTCACCCTGAGCAAGGTCTTTTCTCTAAGGCCGACGCTTGCCGACAACAAAGACAAGCGAGGTCTTGCTCTAGACGGTCAACTTAAGCACGAGGACACCAACCTCGCATCTAGCACAATGTGAGTGTGTGCTCGAACATTGAACGGGATTTCTTTGAAGGTTTCTAGAAAGTGGAGACTGCTAACGGATTATTTAGAAAATACGGTATATATCTTCGCGTTGGAAGTAACACATTGAACGTAAAAAGATCAATCCTGTTTCTATCATTTTGTATTTAATAATTGTTTGACAAATTATTGAAGAAAAAAAGAGTAGAATAAATAGCCGTTCTAGGTCTCCATCCGTTCTGTGATCTTTGTAAAAAATACATAAAAGATATATATACGCATATATATATCTTTTGGAGAATGGAATGCCACTTATTTTATTGGTGATTTTGTGCTGGGGTTTTTTGCGTGGTGGCCTGTTACCACATACATATATATATACATACATATATATATATACCTAGTTATGGATCACGATCGGTGATGGTTTTTCTGTCTAGATATTTCCTTTACACAAACACCCACCACTCTCTCTCTCTCTCTTATCCCGTATCTGATTATATCAACGATAAACTAATGCACTCTTCTTTCTAACGCCTTTGTATTATCAATCCACCACGTATATGGAAACGACTATACTCGATATACGTATATTACTATTATTATTATTATATACTTACTTATACCTTGTTATCGTTTCTCCTATGTATATTTTATTATTGATATGTATTGCCGGTGTGTAACGCACAAGCTGTGGGATTTTTTTTTTTTTTTTTTTTATTATCTACACGTATACCACATTTTTATCCACACATAATAAATATACATTTGTACAATAGGCGTGTGCATATTACGTTAATCTATGTATGCGTATGTGTTCACAATGTGGTATACGCTGCTGGGTGGCGCACTAGAGGTTTGATATTATTGGATGTTATGTAGCTTACTGTCTCGTGACAAAGTAGATCATTTTACCTGTAGTTCTACATATTATTGACAAATGGCGTTACATAAACCCGTTGTTTAGGGAACCCGATCTAATATTTTACATTCATTTCTTTCCAAAGACAATAAAGGCAATTCCTCGAACTTCGATCGAACGATGTGTTGTGCATGTCTCGATATTATAATACATAAAAAGAAGAAAACAACAAACAGGAATGAAAAAAAAATGGTACGCGTATAATTAGTCGAAATTCCAATTAAGCGTTCACCATCGTCGTGTCTTCTGACAATTACAAAGCGAATAAATGTTCCCGTCGTCCAATTACACTCGTGTAAAAAATCCATAGATAATCCTCGCGGTTATATAGATAACCCCACTACAGTTATAAATCTTTTTCGAAATTATTTCCAAATGAAAACTAATGGAATAATGAATTTTTTTTCTTTTTTTTTTAATCATCGCGCGACATCTTCTTCTCGTTGTAAATTTTTATCATAACGAGAAGAGATTTTAATGAGAGGATTGTAATGGGATTACCAATGAGAGGATTTAGACGAGGTAGAATTGTACGAGTTTGTTGATTAGCTCGGCGTTTAATATTTCTTCTTTTTTTTTTCTTTCTTTCTTTCTCTCTCTTCTCTCTTTTTCTCTCTCTCTCTCTCTCTCTCACTCTCTTTCTCTAGTCTATTTTTTCTTTCTTCTTTCTAATTTTGTCGAAGAACAGATAAACTACATATATATAATATATTTATAAACGGCATGAAATATACTTATGGTAAATATTTGTTAGGGAGGGATGCCCAGTGGGGCCAGGTTTCACGCTGAGCAAAGTCTTCTCCTTGACACCGCTTCTCGCCAACAACAAAGATAAATGGGGGCTCGCCCTCGACGGCCAACTCAAAGACGAGGACACCAATCTGGCGTCCAGCACCCTGTAAGAATATCATTAACGCTGCTTGCGAATTTCAAATGAGATATCGTATATCTTACATCAATATTATTATACTACATGCATACTCAATATATATATAACATATTTTTTTACATACAGAGAGACATACACAGATATACTCGTATACATGCGTATCAAGTTACGCCCATACACCTTTTTTTAGTTTATACATAACAATTGGATATTCTATACATTTTTTGTATCTTTTATCTCCTATAGTATCTTCTAATTATTCATTCATTAAATTAATTTTCGAATGATTTATATCACTTCGATATTATTTAAAAAGATAGATATTTTTCTTTTAATCTTCTAAAGTTTTGTTCACATAATTATTATATGTTTTATATTATTTTTCTAACGTCGTAAATATATGTATACCAGGTAGATATTAAAATAATTTTAAATACGAGATCAAATTGGAAGCCTGGGGATATTAAAAATTACCTTTAAAATCACTTGGAAACTTTTTCGATCCATCCTATATAATATTTGCAATTTAAATATTATTTTTTAATAGCAGTAATATCAGTATATTATCTCAATTCTAATGATTAAAAAGAAAATATCTACTTTTGAATGATGCACGAAGTGATTCAACACTTGTGTCATATTTTATAGAAAAACATGTGATATATAAATATATTACGCGTCATATATGTGTTATATAATCTAGTGTATAACGCGATACGTTATCTCTATCTCTTTATTCTTCTATTTTCACTCTCTCTCTCTCTCTCTCTGTCTCTCTTTTTCGTTCTTTTTCCATTTCTATCTATCTATTTTTAGTCATCTTTTTCGATTTAATTGGTTTTATCCAATTTTTATCTCGATTCTCATGTTCGCATTGTGCCGTTTATTCGTCCACACACGTAAAAAAATACAAAAGATTTGTCTTCTCAGTCGATGAAAAATAAAATCATCATCTGTGGACTTTGTCTATTTCTATATTGTTATATTTCTCTTTCTCTCTTTTTCTCTTTGTATTTATTTCGCTCGCTTCTTTAGTGGCTGGGCAAAGCTTCGCTTTTCGTCGCAATGAAAATCTCTACTCGTGGTTTAAGTTTTTCTTTTTCTTGTCTTATCAAGTTGGTACCATCGACGATACGTTTCTCTTTTTCTTTTTTGTTCTTTGCACGATCGAACGCTTTTCTTCGACGTTCATTCTGTTTATAATAGATTTATATTTTCATCCCCTTCTTCACGAAGGGATTTCGTTAAATTTAGTGGTTTTTTTGCACGGTTAACAAATTTAGGTCATTTTTATAGATCAATCAATGAAGGAACTACTACTGAATAATTTGTTTATTAAAATAATGTCGATTTGTTTGTACGTAACAAATTTTAAGATTAAATATATACAAATTTTTTCGTCAATGTTTTAATCCCCGGTGTATATACGTTAATTCACGAGGAAAAAAAAAATAAAAGGCGCGGCTTTGAATACGTCAGCATTTTTATTCTCTTAGGATTCGAAGTAAGAGTAAAACATCGTTGGGCTAACCAGCTGACACATTACATTCAAAGGAAGTCCGATCGATGTGCGTAACGCAAACGATGAAAAAAGAACCTGTCTCGGGAGATTGGAATGTTACTGTAAAAATATTAATTTGTATTTTTCGATTAAATTTTCATTTTTATTATACAATAATCATATGACGTGTATGACGAGACAAAATTCAAATTCGTAATAAGGGAAGAAAATGAAACGAAAAAAAAGAAATAAGTTAGATCAACTACAAAATAAATTAGAAATGGTAGAAATAATTGATGGTACATGTGATTGACTAAAATAATAATGTGACAGAAAAAAAAATGATAGGACTAAAAAGACAACGAAAAATAAAATCCATCTCTGTGCTTTTCCTTTTCTCTTTTTTTTATTTTATTTTATTCGTAGAGATGCACTCACGTCGGTGCATTACGCTGATTGCTTTTAAAATACGCATGCGCTCTTCGTGTTTTATTAAGGTGTTATTAACTCCTAGGATATTTTGTTAACGTATTATGTTGCTGTCTCTCAAAGTTGACTTTTTTTTATTGGGGATTTGAAAAAAGAGAAAAAAATTACAAGAGAAATCTTAAGTAGTAATTTGTTCTTTATTTTTTTTTATGTTCCTTGGCTTATTGTTTGATTAATTGTGTTTTTTCTTTTTTTTTGATATTAGAAAAAGAAATCTTTTCATCCCACTGTGTCATACGTAATAATAACTTTAAATATCATTTACATATTATAATATTAATAGATAACTTTGACACACATGCATAAAATATCAGAAAAAAATTCTAGCGTTAATTAATACCTGTTGCTTTCTTCGCCAGCATGTGCATTCGGCTAACAATTTGCATGCCAGGCTACCACGTTTTCATTTTCCTTGTATTCGAGGAATTATTTATTTATAATCGTTCATGTAATAATCGCAGCGTCGTAGATCCGTCTCAACGCGAAAACCTAGGAATTATCGTCCAGTACAAGGTCAAAGTGAAACTCTGTCTTGGCGCTCTCGGAGGGTAAGTTTTCAACAATAAAAAATAAAATATAATTAAAATGAATGAACACCATTTAAGCAGTGGTGGAATTACAATATCGCAAGATCCCGCGACTCGAAGTGGGGAGCCCAAAATTTGTGCATGGGGTCAAAAAAGGGTGTTCTCATTTTGTTTGAGAACTGTCAGTTTTCGTTTTAATCGTTGCTAAGTGACGAAGTATTGTGTTACGATAAATAAGGGAGAGCACGAAATGAAATATTATCTTGCGGATTTGTAGTTCCATCGATGCGTTTAAGTAAAAAAGAGAAAAAAAAAAAGGTGCCTAACAAGCGATTTGTGCATTTTAACAGCGATCTAGTCGCCTCGTTGCCATTTATTTTGATGCACCCTAAACCGGAAGAAGAAAAGTCAACACTGTCAACGTCGCCACCAAGTCCAACGAATAAAGGCGATGGTGGTGAGGTACCGCTCGATACCAACCTCATACAACTGGACACGTAAGCCACCACTATTATCAAGTTACCACCCATTCCCAAACCATTTTCGTTCCATCCCTTCAATCCCATTACCACTTTGATCGAATATTTGTTGAACTTTTTTGATTAACCTAAAGAAGAAATCTTTGAGATAGGACGGATTTCTCTTGCCCAACAGATTTAGTTGATATTCGAAAAATTGGATTTTTATATTTACACTTTTTTATTTTCTTTTATATTTACTTTAATTTATTTATTTATTTTAATTTATATTTTTTTTTTCTTACCAAACGCTGGAATGATATAATTACCCCTTTTAACGAACATATACAAATGACTCCATGCGTTTTTAAACGGGAATAAAAAGAAATGTATAATTTTTTGTATTAACGTTACGCTCCCCTATCGTTTCCCTTTTCCCTTCGGTTTTTCAACACAGGGAAGTCGATGAAGACGACGACATCGTATTCGAGGACTTCGCACGTCTAAGGTTAAAAGGCGAGACTGATGTCTGACCGTGTTGCGTAAATGATATCGTCAAGTTGCAGGCTGGAACTACCACTAAACGTCCAAAGTTTCAAGACGCCACGTCCTCTGCCAATAAGCGCTCTTTCTCATTTTTTATTTAAAAAAAAAGTCAAAGGGTTCAAAGTAAATTAATAAAAGAAAAAAAAAAAAAGAAGAAGAAAAACAAAAAATCGTTGCGTCGTTTATAATAGTGTATTTGTGCGTGAGTGAGTCCTGTTGTATGCATCTGTGTGCGCGTGTGTTCTGTACGCGTGTATGTATGTAAAAATAAAAAAAAAAACATAAAAAGAAATTGAATATTAAACAAACAAACAAACAAATTATAATATATGCTCATATACTCTCGTCGGGTCACACGAAATTCCTTTCCAATTGTATTCTTCGTGGTGAAAAGTTGAACGCGTTTTTAATTTTTTTACAAATGATCGATCAAAGTTTACGTGTCTAATCGAGATATTTTAAAAAAAAATTTTTATATCCGACAAAAGAAATTCCATCTTTGCAATAACATCGAGAAAAAAAAACTGAAGAAACTATTAACGATTTACGGATTAATTTGTATATTTCATTGATACTATATTATCACGCGTAAATAAGTACTAACTTAAGGAAATAATACGAATAGTAAATGCTTATTACTTATTAAACATGTTATTTATTCCAAAGCGTAGCCTTGAATAATTTCTTTCAAGAATTAAGAAACTTAATAAACATTAAACGCTTATTAATATTCGTCGAAATATAATTTTTCATACCTCGAGATAGATCCGAATTCTATGCGTTCTTAACTAGATTGCATTTATATTGCGAAAGTATGATCGAAGTAAAAAAGAAAACTTTCTTATCGCATAAATCCTTTAATTAAATCCTTGAATTACACGATAAATCATTTTATTTTTGTTCGTTTAATTTTTTTACTTCGATCACTTTACAGCTCGCAAATATTGACACGAAAGTTATTAAGTATGGGTATCTGCGATCATAAATTTAGTACGTAAATACTTTTTGAATATTGTAATAATGAAGGAATTCTCGTTTACTATGAACGTAACCAATAGTTAAAATATAAAAAAAAAAAAGAAAAAGCTCTGGCCGTTATACAATAATTTATCGTGGCTTCGGAACAAATGCAGATTATTTTTTACCTTCCCCTCTCTCTGTCCTGGTTCATTCCTTTTTTCAATAAAAATAAAATCACATACCCGACGATTAATAAAAATATCAAAGACTGAATTTTAACACGCTGTTCAGAGAGAGAGAAAGAAAAGAAATGGGTGGTAGGGTGAGACGCATGTGTGAATGTGTGTGTGCGTGTCACCATAAAAACGTTCTACCTATATTTAAAAATATTTGCAAATGTGAACGAAGTTTATAAGATTATAAACGCAAACGCATATGTACCGGTAATTATGGCAATGGTTGTTAGTGAAAAAATTGGAAAGATTAATTTCGTGATTTAATTTACATGGAAATTATTTATAAATTATCAAATATAAATCATAATACAAATTTGTATATAATTTGTTTCACTTACAGGCCGCTATCATAATTATCAACGCAAATACATTTTAAGCGAATTTGAAATATTGAATTTGAAATAACACGGTGTTATATTTTATTTGATTATATTTTTTTTCGATCGTTAACATTTTGATATGCGGGATATTTTTCATTTATATTAAAATACATTTACGTGTCAGAGGCTATTTATGAACGATTTCCTGTAACAAATGCGAAATTAAGAAATATTAATAAATACGCGCGCACAAAACTAATTGTAAGCTACTTTTACACGTTTCTGAAATTGCCCTGACTATTAAAAAAGAATAATATGCACACACGGATTAAGCATAAATTATTTTGCCCGCATATAAAACGTTTAATAAGTTGTTCCTTTTTTTCCAAAACGATCATTAAAATCAGAACGTTAACGTAGAATTTATTTTGCATTATCCAATTTAATCGGACGTTAATTATGCATACGTGTATGTAAATACTGGACGCCACACATTTGGTTTTAAAACAAAGATTTAAAAGTAAAAAACTTTATTTAAATTAGGCCACGAAAAATGCATAATAATTGATTTAAACGATAATTCTAGAATTAAATTCTTACTTATTAGCATAACATATTTAACGTGACTAGAGACAACAAAAAATTAGAATTTGAATATGTTCGTCGAGAGTCGAAATTATAAAATGAAGGAAAAAGAAAGTTAAAAAGAAAAGAAAAAAAACAAAAAGAATAAGAAATAGTCGTGATACATTAATTCACGAATTCGCCTTAAGTAGTTGGCGCGTTGTTTTCTTGTTTTTTTGTCTTTTTTCATCTTTTTTACAAACCGCTTTGCAAAACATTAATTAGGATAATTACGAATTACGTCGTTTTTTAACGCGTGTCCCAGGGAGAAAAAAGAAAGGAAAGCTTACGTTCGTTATTTAATATAATTTCGTGGATAAAAATAAAAGAAAATAAAAAGAAAAAAAAGAGCTAAGCGTTATTGAAACGATATAAGGAATATAATCGACATGTGTATGTGCATAAATTCAGTAATTTAGCTTTTACATATTTATACCGATATACATATATATTGATTAAGAAACGAATTTAGGTTTTTTACGAATTCCTCGTTCGTTCTCCGTACACTTTTTATATAAATATATGAATATTTGTTTATACAAACTTATTCACGTGAAATGTGAAAATTCTCTCTAACGATTGAAAAATATTTTCCTTCTAATTCGCGCATTTGTCGAATTTGTTAGAATTTTGTATAATTCATAGGAAAGATACCGATAACAAATAATTATCCATTTCATTATATTTTACCAATTTGTGTAGGTATTATCGTTAACTATCGTTCAATGTAATTATATACATATTCCTAATTATTCACGTATAGTATTTTATAATCTTTCTCACGAATAAGTAAATCGTTAATTTGTATTTTTTTCTTTTATGTATATTCTTTTTATTTTATTCGATTACTCGTGACACATTATTGTTAAGTCATTTCGTGAATTCGAAAATTCTAATATCGCTTAATAATTTATATATAATAAAATACCACACGAGACACTAAAAAACACATAGAATAATACTAAAAATTTAATTTCTTAACAATTTTGTTCTGAAATTATCCTGCGTATACCATTGTTTTATTATAATTTACACTGTAATCATTATTATTAATATTATTATATTATTATTATTATAAAAACAAAGGACAAACAAGCACATTTTGTATTAATAAAGTAAACCACAAAAAAGAAATATATCATAAATATTACTAAACCATACTACATACTACTTCTACACCATATTAAAAATCCCATATAAAATACAGCACCATTATTTATTTCACAAATCAATTGTCAATAATTCTCTATCTATATATTGTTCATTTTATCGAAGTTTAGAATTTTCGGATTCCTATGAGAAATATTTAAAAAGAGAAAAATTATATGCATTAAAAAAAAAAAGAATATACGTAAATAATATATCGATATACCAAAGTCAATCGAATTTTTTTTTATTTTTATTCTTACGAATGATAAATAAAAGAGACTTTCGAAGAAGAAGAAGAAGAAAAGGAAAACTTGCGTGACGTGTGTATGCGTGTATGTGTGTGGGTGTATGTATACCGTTGTTGTTGTTGTTGATGTTGTTGTATTTGTGCGGCAACGAAAGTAGAACATTTACATATAAATAAATAATGAAATATGTAGAATTAAATATTGAGCCACGACTATCTTGTATAAAAAAAAAAAAAAAGTAAAAAAACATTAAAATAATAATAATAATAATAATATTTAAAATTGAAACACTAATTAATTATTATAGGAGCGGGGAGACGTGTTAGACTAACATAAAAAAAAAAAAAAAAAAATTAAAAAGAAAAAACACAGAAAAAAGAACGAATGCTTGCTTGTACAGTATACATGAGAATATATTTTATATCGGCGCGCAGTGCGCGTAATATTTTTTGTATGATACAACAACCCTTTCGACCTATCACCCTTCACCCTATTCACTTCCCTTGCTCTACCATCCTCTAACCCGAAGCGAAAGCATTTTTTATTCTCTTATACAGGATGACAGTGAAAAATCTGTGATGACAAGAAGAAAAAAAAAATAATAATTAAATAAATAAAACATAAAATAAACTAACACAAATCGCGATACGAATGAACAAGCCACTGTTGCGTGTATGCGCGTGTTTTATGAGTGTATGTGTGTGTCTGTGTGTGCGTGTAATTTGATTAGAATAACAGAAGGGAAAAAAACAAAGGAGAGAAAAAAAATATTCATAGTTATTGGAGAACGAACGTGTTGCATGCGTTGTTTGAGAAAAAAATGTCAAAGTCAATATTAAATAAAAAAAGAAAAATAAAATAGGAGGAGAAGAAGAAGAAGAAGAAAGGGGGTAAAATCGCGATCTGTCGATAAACGCGATAAACGTATCGTGATTTTATAAATAAAAAAAAAGAACAATAATCGTGAGAACGTGACATATTATTTCTTTGAGAGAAATGTGAATGACGTTATTCTTACGTTGCGAATAATTTAAAAAAGAAAAAGAAAAGTATGTAATTACGACGAGAACAAATAAACATATTATATAAAATTAATAATATAATAATACTATAATTAAATCTTAAAAAAATAATTAAAAAAAGGAAAGAGAAAATGACTTTAAACGTCATTTTCATGCAATATTGAAAGATTTTTCTGTCCGTTGTAATAAAAGGGAGAATGGATTGACTTTTTTATTCTAAACTAACGACGCATATTTATCGATTTCTTATTCGAAAAATAATATTTCAATTAAACAAACGTGCAAGGTTTTTTCAGATACAGGCCAGAAATATAATGGGAGATAGAGTCGAACTATAAAAAAGAAATTAATTAATTAATTAATTAATTAAAGCGCGCGAGAAATTTCGTTGCGAATTAAATGATAGAAATGGGGCGTATAATTGTTTACGATAAAATGTGTTTAAAGTAATTACAAGCGTCGTGTCAGTGTGTTTGTCGTGATGGTGATATTGCAAAAAGTAAATGAAAATGAATGGAATTTTGAATGATGATGATAATGATTCATTATTTATAACATATAAACATAGTCAAATTATTTATTAGTTCATCGTTGCTTGTGTATATACATATATTAATTGCATTTTAAATAAACGTGTATTTATTTGTCACGTTTGAATTTTTTTTCATGTATGCGTCTGCGTATGCGTCTGCGTATACGTGTGTGTGTGCACATGCAAAAGATCATTTGCTATCGAGATATCCGGTCCAGTTTAAAACGAAAGAAATGTTATTTTAATTGTGAAGGTGTATAAAATCGTAGAAAACAAGCTTATACATATACATATACATATACATATTTATTTATTCCTCATCGCGTTTTGCACAGATGATTTTTCGAAATACTTTATTTTCGAATACCCTAAATTTTGTCTCGCAAATAATGCATACACATTCGAAACTATTTCATCTATTTATCTCTCTCTCTCTCTCTCTCCCTCTCTCTCTCTTTAATTCACAACAGTCCCTCTTTCATTTTACGAGTTCCTCCCCCTTCTTCTTCCATATTCCTCTTCCTGCATCTATCTTCGTTTCCCCCCTCGAAAATAACCTTTGACAAGCTGCACGTACTAGTTTAGTACGTCGATCGTCGCCCTCTCATCGTCCGAATGAAACTGTTTCTCGTTACATTTTAACGTTGCTTTATTTCGCGAGTGTTCAACATTTTCTCCACTTTACGATAGCAAATTACTCTTTCGTGGTTTTTATTCGTCCTGTCGTTCTTCCACGATTCATAGCTCAGGTGGTTGGAACATGATTCATGAATAAATTTAAACTGACCATCGCGGATAAGAAACAACGGAACTATGCTTATTTTAGAATTAAAACAAAAATTGTTTATGCGTATTATATTCGCGTAAGAAATATATTTGAATATTTATACGCGCCTCGATATTTTGTAACAATTATTATTGCTACAATTTTGCTATTGTCTTTAGAATTTTTAATTCAAGATATTCTCATGTATGTTCGCGAGTAGTTTCATGTTTTCAAAGGGTATTTATTTATTAAATAAATCTTTTTATTTAAGTAGACGTTATGTAAGTAAATATATTGTCAGTTTTTGTTTTTTTATAGAAATGAAAGAAAACTCGTAAATTCGGTGATTTGTGTTATTCAAAAATATTTTCTTTCGCGTAAATAAACGATCTCGCATCTAAACGCGATGCATAGATCTCTTTGATCTATCTTTGGGATAATCAATCAACGTGCACGCGTTTCCTATAATCGTATGACATAGATTACGACATAGATACGTATGCATGATCGGTTAACAAAATTTACGTGGTTAATAAAAATAAAGATATAATAAATGAAAATTTAATCTTCCTATCGGATATAATATTTACCTATTAATTAATAATTCAAACGATTCGCGCATGCATATATGTAGCCGTAAAAAATCATGCGTTCGAGTGAAAACAATTTAACATCCTGGCCGAATGTTCTGACCTTGCATCGAACTTCCTGCAATGGAAGTCTTTACGATTGTGCAATAAAAGAGTGCATCCCCGACAATTCTATCGATTTCGATCGAATTTGTGCCTTTACTCAGAACACTACGATGACCAATTTATTGTGCAGATCATGCGATTATCAAAATTGTCAGATGAACGTGTCGTTGATTTTAAATAAATGGGAAACTAGCATGGAAAGTATCTTTTTATCCAAGATTACGAACTTAGATGGTTGCCTTTCGAACAGCACCAGACACGAGGTAAACGTTTGTTGTGAAAAAAAGGAAAGGATTAGGGAATATACATTTTTATTAATTACAATATTTAACAAAAATACTATAAATATTGCATAACATTTGTATCAGATCCTGGAATGCTCTCATCAAAGAAATATCGTCGATGGGGAAGACATTGAATTCTACTGTTCGCGAAACTCAACGGTGACGAGTCGTCGAACCGACTGGAGATTTCTTTTCGTTGCCTTTATCATAGTAATAGCTGGTGGTTTAGGAAATTCTTTGGTTTGTTTAGCCGTTGTATTGGATAAAAAACTTCACAATTTAACTAACTATTTTCTATTATCTCTCGCCATTGCCGATCTACTTGTTAGTCTGTTCGTCATGCCGATGGGGGCGATTCCTGGATTTTTAGGTGAGCCTATCTTTTATTTTTATTTTTTATTATTCTCATTTATTAATTTTCATTTTTATTTCTCTTATAATATCCCTTTAAAGTACATCACAGAATAGATTTTAGGTTACTGGCCGCTCGGTGTAATCTGGTGTAACATTTATGTGACCTGCGATGTTCTGGCATGCTCGGCGAGCATTATGCACATGTGTTTCATTTCTGTGGGCAGATATGTAGGCATTCGTAACCCATTAAGGACACGAAGGACCTATACGAAACGTCTGGTTGCCCTTAAAATAACAACCGTCTGGTTATTAGCTATGCTAACGTCCAGTTTTATTACACTATTAGGTAAATTCTCGAAAAAATTAACGAAATGATATTCTTCAACATTATTACGCTTGATTGAAACTTTTTTATTAAATAATTCGCAAAAATGTTAAAAAATAAAAAAACAAATATTTCATTTAAAATATTTTCTTGAACATCGATAAAATAAATTTCTATTTTGGTGATTGAGCATCGATACAGTAGATTTCTATTCTTGTGACTGAACGTCGGTAAAATAGATTTCTATTCTTTATATTGAATCGATTAAATAAATTCCTATTCTCGTAGGTTTGATCGATTCGAAAAGTATAATGCCAGATTCAACGACTTGTGTTATCAATAACAAGATTTTCTTTATTTTTGGATCTTTAATTGCATTTTATATACCAACGATTGTTATGATATTGTCTTACGTATTGACGGTGCAATTACTACGTAAGAGGGCGCGATTTATCGCGGAATATTCGAAAAACGATCTATCGTTTGGAAAATCAATTGGAAAATTAGTTTCGACGAAAAATCCATCGACAGAACGTGAAAATACAAGGTAATAAAATAATACTTATATGTATATAGAATTAAATTAAAAATATTCAAAGATAAACAAATAATTTGATACTTTTTCCGCGTGTTTAGGTCTCTCAAATTGTTAAGCGGAAAGACAAATAAAAGAATCCTAGCTGCGAATGCAATAGCTTCGAAACAAAAGGCCAGCAAAGTTCTTGGATTGGTATTTTTTACATTTTTAATTTGTTGGGCTCCATTCTTTGCATTAAACATTATATTCGTCATTTATCCAAATAATATCGTGCCACGACATATAACAGACACGTTTTTGTGGTTAGGTTATGCATCTTCCACCATAAACCCTATCATTTATACGATTTTTAACAAAACTTTCCGGGCTGCTTTCGTACGCCTATTAAAATGCAAATGGTCTAGATAATAATTCGAAATTAATTCTAGTATTACGTATTTATTCCTTTTTTATTTTTATTATTTATTTTAATTCTTATTCCTCACTCTCTCTTTCTACCTCTCCCTCTCTTGTAATTTTTATTTTCTATATAATATAAACGAAATACCTATTAGTATACTTTAAAGATGTTAAAAAATACGAGTCTGTTAAGAAAAATAAAAGTAAAATAAATAGACGGCATGAAAAACTGAAATCTTTAAAATATGTTAGGTAAATTAAATAATTAAATACTATATTTGCACTTTATTTATTTTTTGAAAGGCTGAGAAGAGATAATGGGTGTCGCATTTTCTTTTAGCACTTTGCTCTATAATATTTTCAATTACTACAAAACAATGTGCCAAAGTAAAAAGTACATTGATTACAATTAGTGTGTGTTTATGAAAACGTGCATTATCTCTTTAACATATTTTAAGTGTAATGTACTAGAAGTGTCGTCAATTTGTTTCTAACGTGGTGATATTTAAACATTACATATGAAGAAAGATTTAATGTTTTCAACCGATTAACTTCTAAAATACTCCTTAAATATTTAACAAATGTTCATACGCAGATATTTGATTATGCATTCAAACATGTTCTTCTATGTTTTTTTTTCCCATTTTTTGTTTCATATATACACAGGATAATAAGAGATATATCATAATGTCTTTTATGATTTATCTTTCCTATCTTCCTAATCGTTAACTTTATATTTTATGTACTTTGGTATTATTCTTCTTCTTTTATTTCTTTTCTTTCTTTAAATTTTTTGTAACAACATAACTTTAATCAAGCATCTGACGTGAGTAAATTAACGCTACGTAATTACAATATTTTAATTATAAATGCAAAATCACAAATATAACTGAAAGTAACCCAATAAAAAATGTCGAACAATTTTAATTATATACTTTACTCTAGATATAAGTATATGTGTATATGCAAGTATGCACACATATACAAACTATCTATTAATGTCATGTGTAATATATCAATTAATAAACAAATTGCGTAGTTATTCAATACTTATTGCATTATTACAAAATTCCATAATATCAAATTAAAGTATAGACAAATAAAGTACTACTCATATAGCATTCCTTGATCTTAACAAACTACTTGTATCAATATCCCCAATAAAATATTGAATAACTCTATTCATTAGAAAACATTTCAACAGAAAAAATCATTTAATACTTGAAGAGTATATTTTCATCTGGTGTTCATTTTTTTAAGTGTGATTACTAAAATTTAACAGACTAGACATACGACAGCCAATTTTGGACAATATTACTATCGATAATATGATGATGACAATGATGCTAATAATAGTAATAATAATAATACTAACAGAAATAGAAACTATTATAAATGTTCAAGCAAATGTGTAATTTTAAGCAAAAGTTGAAATTATACAATCTTATAATAAGAATAAGCATATATCTATATTCTTATGCGTATATTAATTTTTAGAGTTAATATACTAGCATATGAGCGTATATAAAGTTTTCATTTAATATTTAAAAATGCTATTCGTAAAATGTGTATAAAATTTACCTTTGTATAATTAACATACTTACAATAGTAACGCGTGTTTTATCTATGTAGCAAAGTAATTTATACAAGAAACAACCGTCGTAAAACAAGTAAAATAATAGCTGATGCTAACAATGCTATTAGAATACTCCAAAATAGATCGTTCGAAGAGGACATTGTTTCTACTTGAGGATTTAAATGCACAGTCGATTGAGCTTCTTGGCTTTCACTGAAATTTGTTTCCCTACGATGTCTTAGTTCACTTCCAGTGTCCCCATTTTCTGAGTTCTCTGTAAAACTTGTTTCGAGCGTTGGTGTTTCATCAGCCTGTTTAAAATGATATTAATTTGTATGACGAATACATAAAAATAATATGATATTTTATAATAACAGAAATGATATCTCATACATACCTTCAGAGCTATCATATCTAACATATTTTGTTCCTCTTCTGTAATAGGTTTCTTTATTGAATTTTTGGACAACAAGTCCACCACTTTTCCACAGTTATCGCATTGCCAATTCAATGATCTGATATATTAAAATTATGGAAAAAAGAGATTAAAATATCACTTTGTTTAAATGATTAAATGATAGAAAGTAATGATAAAAATTAAGTATACTTTTTGGCTAGCTTTTGTCTTTCTTCAGTGCTGTAATCTAAAGAACCAATAGTTCCATTGCCAGGTGTAGGCATAAAAGCGATTAGTGCTAATAATGCTGTTCTAATACTCCATGATGGTTGCCAAGTTTCAGGATGATGACCCGAAATGTTTAGACAAATCTTTTTATTTATTCTGAAACGACCGTTTGGCTAAAACAAATAATTATCTTTCAATTAACACCGATTAAAAGAAACTAAAAGATGTCATACTTGAATGGCAAACAAACTCACTGTTAATAAAATAATATTAGGAGGTTTCATAGGATATTCGGGTGGTAGTAAAATTCTTCCATGGTAAACGCCTCCCTCGAAATCAGTAGAAGGAGGACCCTGTACAGTAAAGTGCCATTCAAAAAGATTATCATCCAAGGGATAAGCGTAATACTCTTCTGTAGCTTCGTGGAGTTCTTGAGCTTCTCGCATCAATCTTTTGACAGCTGTAATGTCAATTAATATTGTTTCATTTTAAACTCTGATATGAAATGTTAAACAAATTATATATAATATTAAAAATAGAGAAATAAAGAGCAAAGATATGAGGTGTTACAAAAAAAAAAGAAGCTAAAAGTTCTTGCCTGGACTTTTAGCATTGTATTTTCCCTCGAATGACATTTTAAGCATAACCTGTGTTATATCTCTTGTTTAAAAAGTACGACAAGAATTTCAATAATTTTTATTTGTGGCAAATGAAAGATATTCTGAGAATGTATTTAAATACACTCGCAATTTATAAATCGACACAATGAACGATCGTCGTCACCGTTTACATTTTCATTTGCGTACGTGGCGATTTGGAATGATGTGCCATAAGCTGTTAGTATCGTCTATTAAAAAATGACGGAATTTCTTTTTGCGTTTACCCGAATCGACGTGGCCTTTAGCCAAAAATCTGTGTTTTTTTTATAATGAAAAAAAAATAAACTGGTCTGCCAAGTTGTAAAAAATAATATCAACCAATACCAATGCCAATTCAATGGACCTAAAGTAAATATATAATAATATATAGATAAATAAGATAAGTGGGGGAGTACAATGCAACTCGTTCTTAAATTATCGAACTCGTTCTTAAATTATCGAACTCGTTCTTGAATTATCGAACTCGTTGCCAACTTCAATCGATATCATTCGTAATTCATCAAGTAGGTTCAATGGCGGTGTAATTTTAAGAGTGCTAGTGATATTAAAATAATTGTTTAATTGTGTCATTGCGATCATGTAAAAAAGACAATAATTCACGTGGAAAGAGTAAAGAAAACGAAGGAATGTAATGTATATAAATATTAATTAGGTTAGTCGTTTCAATAATGACATTTATCGCATATAACCTCAATTTATTTATATGTTTCTAGGAACGTATATAATTATTAATTATATACGTCGTTTTAACAATGATATTTACATAATATAACTTTTTTAAATTTATTTTTTATTATTCTATAAAAATTAATTTATATTTTTCAAAGTATTCGCATATATTTTTGACAATTTAGAATAGAAAAATAAAGATGTAGATTCAGAGCATTAAATATTTTCTTTCAACATTTTATTTTTATATTATTAAAGCATATAAATAGATTGGTTGTAACATTTATCATTAATAATATTCTTAATATAGGATAAATTTAATTGTGCGCAGATATTCTGTGCTGCTCGTAGAAGCATATATTCTTACGTATTATACATTGCCAAGATGCTTACTCCTAAGGCTTTACACACGAAGAACAAAAGTATATCACATTACTTAGTTTGCGTGGATTTTGAGATCAAGTATTGTTAATCTCAAAAAGTTCTTGTACTATTTAATATAATCTATTTTTTAAATGTAACAAAAGATATCTTAGCATACGGTTACTTGAAATTTGTATGTTTACTGCCAATTGTGTCACCAGGGTTTTACAGCGAAGCAAATAATGGTAATACTTTATATTTATGGAACATATGATTCATTTGCATTTCTAATATCGTACAAACAAAAAATGGATAATCCTTGAATTTCAAATGATAAAAAATGTACGCGCAAACTTTTATATTATGTTTATCTCTCTATGATTAAATATATCATTAATATTATAAATAATAAACTTTCTAAATTGGAGAATTATTTTAGTAAATAATCAAATAATTTTTGGTCCCTATAATAGTTCAAATCATTGTTTTCTACAAAATTGGTAAAAAGAAATAATGTCAAGACTTAAAAATAATAAAATAAAATAGAAAACCAATAGAAATAATTTTCAAAATATTTTCTACGATACTATAGAGATCTTTATAATATTTAATAATGTAAAGTACCCTGATATTTACAAAATTTACTGATTTTCCATTGACAAATAATAAGTATTATTTTATATGCAACATTTTATAATCTTAATCATACGTAGCAACTTTATATTTTAATTTGTAAAAATTTTATGTTATAACTTGATACTATTTCTTTTCCATTTTATAAATGTAACAAATATATATATTTCTTTTAAATCATAAAAGGGATAAATATCTTTTGAAACATTTTTTGTTTTATAAATTACTACCATTCGTGGTAATAATGAATATTACATTTCATAATATTTGATTTTGTTTTTAAACAAATAGAACTTATTATTATTTTTGTTTAATGATATAGCTTAATGTAATATAAAAAAGTATTGAAGCGCTTATAATACATATATTAATATGTTTAAAATATTGCAATTTATCCAATCTGTAAGCGTGCTAATGAATCATTGACATTTTACTGGACTATTGTCATTACTGTAATTGTATCATAATTTTGTTTTTTACTGCAACGATATTTAATCAGTTATAAATTCAATACCCTGCGTGTAATTTTAAAAAATACAAGTTAAACACGAATCGATAAATCGGCTAATTTTGTTAACACTTAAGAAGTGAAGATTTCGCTATCATAATAATATTAAGGCATTCTACATCAATGTTTGTTATCTCTATAAATATTTAGAATCTTTGTGTGTTCAACATACATAATAATATAAAATAAGTATGTGGGAGTCAATGATCTATCAATTTAAGGAATATTTTTCTATATTCCTTTTTTATGTTAACATTAATATACCAACACTAACGTGGTGATACATTATGAGTTATATGTATACGTGCATAAAATGCAATCACCAAAAAATTATGTAATATCAATGCATATTATCGAAAGCAGTCTAGTTTAAGTAAAACATTTGATTAGTCAGCTAAGCTTTTCGAGAACTAAATAAATGATCTTATTTTGATACCAAAAAATAACTTCTTAGATAAAATATGTGTTAGAATTTTAGCACCTTCCTTTAAAAGCTTTAGTTTATATAATACCACAGTTTTTGTCACGTTTACTTTACATTAAAGTTTATGTATATATATATCTATATATATTCATTATATTTTATTTTTCAAATAATCTAAGCTTTAATGTAAAGCAAGCCAATAAAAGGAATTTTGCCTCGGCAAAAATTCCTTTTTTATTTTATTTATTTTTCTTTTTTCGTCATAATTTTATCTGTAAGTAATTATCGAAATATTAGAACTTACAATTTCTCAAATATTGTATCGCAACATACATACATGATATGCTTAGCTTAAAATAATATTTTGTGTGATTCTTCGTTCTTTCTCTCCATGTTCTTAAGAACAAAAGTTATATAATTCAAAATGTATACACTAACTGTGTGTATATGTGTTTTGCATGTATCTTTTTAAATAAAAAAATATTAGTTGAAATAAATATAATGAACAAAAATGTAGATTAATCAATAGGAAGAAAGTTATTGTCTGTTAAAAATTATTTGAACAATTCCATTTTAGTTATCATATATAAACATTTCAAATATATGAAGGTGCACGAACTACAAAACTGAAGTCTTACGCTAAATAATAAAATTAGGCCATAAAAATATCTGTTAAAAGTACAATTGGCATTCAAATAGATTCATTTTTCGTTTATCACATTAATTTTTATAAGCTTGTTTTTACGTCTATAATTTAATTATTTTTTTTCTAAAGTTATAGTATTTATTATATTTTTGGTTTTTGTTTTTTCTTTTCTGTTTAGTATCATTGGTCATGGTACTTTTGAATCTTTTCAGCCAAATTACTTGTGAAACAATTTAAATTCTATTATTTTCAATGAAGAAAGATGAAAATAATAGAACATCTTTTTGCCATCTATTACTTTACACTTTTCTCTCTTTGCAATTACCCCCCCCCCCCAAACTCTTCTATCCCCATGTTGTATATTTTATATAATAGAAAAATACAAACAATCCTCTTAAATACAAATGGATCTTTTATCAGCTATCATTAGTCCATTCGCCTGTTTCTTTTAAAGCCCTATCCGTTAATCGCTCTATCTCAGTCAAAAGCTGTTCAGTCTCCATATCAACACATACCATATCTGCTTCTACAGGATCCCATTCTAAACTGTTTGGTGTTGATACTCTAGACCAGGGAGATGCTGTCAAACTAGAAGGCTGACTATTATTAATTGAAGTTTGTGATCCATCGGTACTAATTTTATCATTATCCATGACTGGCAGTGGCAATCCTAAAATAATACATACGTTCAAAGATTTATTTTCAAATTTCATGCAATTTTTGTATAAGTTATAATTGTAACTAAATACCTTCGTGTTCCCATTCAAGATCCAACGAAGAACCAGGTGTAGAAGAAACACAAGTTTGTTGCTTCATTAAGTTTCGAACATCAAGTATTTGTAGCGGCGTGTCTAAACCGGAACTAATGGAAGATTTGAGATATTGTTAAATAGATATATATTTCTTAGATTACCTAAACAAATCACATATACCTCGTAGAAGGATCATTTCTAGAATTCAATCTAGCATATTTGTTGGAGCCTCTTTGCCATCCCCCTTCGTCTAATAACTCTAAAGTCACAGGAACTCCATGTTTTTTCTATAAAATATATATCTATGAATATATATTTATGAAAATATTAATAATAATATACATTCTATTAAGAATGCTATGTATCTTTTACAAAGCTGCAAACACGTTGCTGCATAAGCCATTAACATACCCTTTGAAAATTCATACAATTTACAATTCACTCTCTTTTCTATTAAGTTTAATACAATTAAACAATTTTACTTCTACTTGTATTTTAGGATTAAAAGGAAAATGAAGCCTCATTGAAAAGTAAATATTATATACATGCAAGACATTATACTCAAGTATAGTGTGTATACTTTTGATATTAAATCTAATACCTTTAATATTGATGATTTAATCAAATTCTTGATAACAAATGTAAATTTTGTCTATGAACTTAAATATTCTCTTTAAAAATCTATACTTTTCAATTTGAATACATGAAATTACCTTAAATTGCTTTAAGGAGAGAAACGATAACAGACTGTCCAGTAAGCGTAAGGATCAAATTTATAATTAATACAGAACTCTTACTTGTCAATTAAAAGAATTCTGATTCTTACGTTTTTGATCCTTTAGGTTGTTCTCTATCTTCTTCTCCATCTATAAACTACAAAATTAACAAACATGTTATACATGAATTGAATCTATAATTTTCTAGTTTATTTTTTGTTGTTGTTTATCGTATCAACAATTTCTAACTTTTCATGTAATTTATTGCTATGTCTAGTATCACACTTTCAGTTAGAAGATTACATGCAATGTAAAACATTTATTGAGTATTTATAGAATTCAATCTTATAGGAAATCCGCTTACACAGTCAATATTTTATATTCGCTACTATCATTAATTTAGTCATGCTACTTGCAATTCAAAAAGATAACATACATATTTGATAGGCACCATAAACGTTCTTAAACAAAATGCAATAAAGAATAATATAATATATTGAATAGAAATAAAAATAATACAACTAATATCTACCTCAACTTGTTCGTCTCCTTGGCAGGACATGCTGGTATGCCTGCGATACAACCTTAAATTAAAATAATATACAAAATTTAGAAACAATAATTAAAAAATTTGTCATTTAATTAGTACATAAAATGAAAAGTAAAACTAATACAAAAAATAATTAGAAAAAAAAGAAGAGAAATGAAAGATAGAGTCAAATTTCATTGTCGATAAAGATGCAGGTGTAGAAGATTGCATAGAATAATTAAATTAAAAAAAAAATAAAAAAAAGGAGAAGAATAATATTTAACCTGTAGGATAACGAGTCGGTGACTTTGGCAAAACATCGGCCGAAACAGGCCCCCATGACCTGTCAAATCACGGCGTCTTGCCGTCGGCGTCATCTAACCGATCTATAATGAATATTTAAATGCCAGTCTTTAATTCCACACGTTACACGCCCGTAAATTGACTGTTACAACGAGAGAGACAGCGCCCCGTTTATTGTTGTGAATAGTGGACGTCAAATAAAACAGATCATTCTCAACCATGTTTGATGGTACCGTATGAATAAAAGCAAATACGAACGAACAGCTGCTGTCATGCGCGATTACTCACCCCTTTTACAACATGCGCGTCACTTATTTCTTTTTACGTCATTACTTATGAATTAAAATTATTTATTATATATTTTATATATACTTATTTTTTATTTCAATATTTTGTATGCATTTATATTTTTAATTATTTATACATGGCAATTATTCTGTTCACTTTAAATATATCTCCTTTGTTTACAATCTTAGTAAAAAACTTTAAAGGGAAAAATTGCATTCTTGCAAGTAGGAGATCTAATGATAGAAAGAATTGTTTCTCGAGATTTTTTTTTGCATTATTGTTGTACAGTAATTTATATGAGTTTCATAGAATATTATTTAAAAAAATACACAACATATTTACAAGATACTATTTATTAATGACAAAGGTACAACACTTCGAATAAATTAATATATACGCCTGATTTTCTCTGTATTAATTCTCTATCGTCATTATTAAGTTTTGAAAAAGTTCAATCCTGTCAAATAAAAATACTTTATTTTGCACCTTTGAGAGGAACGTGTATGGTGAGAGTTTAGAGTTAGAAAATAAATTAAATTACAATTATATTATTTCTTTACTTGTTGAAGATATACGCACATTATTAATCAACAAGATTCAAAAATATACCTCCAGAATATTAAACGTAACAAGACACTTATAGATCCTAGTGGTGGTAATTAACATTTTGATATTATGTAAAGATATTTGTACATTTGTATTTATATTGCATATATATATATATATATATCTATGTGTATATATAATTCTGTAATTTTTTTCCGTATATTACTTACACACACACAAATTGTATCGTAAAATAGTTACAGTTCACATTCAAATTCGAAATAGTATATTGTAGATGATAAATTTTTAAGCATCTTATATATTACATGCAAAACTATTTTATTTTTTATTTTTTCTTAATGCCTAAGAAAAAAGTATCGTATTCGTTTATGATTAAAAAATATATATATATATATTTATGCATAACATAAAACGTGTGATTCTATAGTGTTTTCAGACAATTAGATGTATAATGTTGTTATATGTTACATTGTTTGAGTATCTTTCAACAAGAACTATTGTCTTTTATATTTTTCTATATAATGCAACTACTCTTATCAACGATTTTAATTTAATAACTTGATGTTAACATTAAATATATATATACATATATATTTTTTTTTATTATTTGTACGCTAGTTTTGTAAATATTATAGTGCTTAATGACAATTGTATGTTGCTGCACTCGAAATATGATTTTAATGTGTATATCAGAAAAATAACTTTGAAAATATAAGTTCTATCTTGATGTATCACCATGTATATCTTCGCAATCTTTTATATATATATATTAGTAACGTTTAGTGAGTTTTCTTTTTTCGATATATTGTTTTAAACGTTTCCCACTTCGTTAACATCTTTTACTCACGATTACATACATTATATTATTATTATTATTATGTAGATTTAACAATGTTTAATATCTTTGGACAAATTTAGAAACACGAGTTATAAGTCGGAAATAACATTACTTTCAATAGTAATATCGTAATGTTAATTAGACGATTTTTGTAATTCGACAAGACACGAAGAAGACTACATTATGTTTTTTTAAATTAAATATGAATTGACAAGAGATACTTGCCAAATTTATTTGTAAGTATATGTATAAGTATAATAGGAAAAAAGAATTCTAAATACTTTCATGGTCGCAAAATCTTAAATTTTAGCAAAATGTTTTAATGATATATGCAATCAGCGTGACTCAGGATCGGTTATTATCCCAAAAGTCATTCTTAATTGCAAATTATGTTTTGAGGTAGACAAGTATATTCTCCAAATAGCTTTAGATAGCTTTTAATAATGCTAAACTGAAAGTCAAACTTCATTTATCAACGTAAATTGGCACAAAACAACATTTTTTTCTTATTTCTACATTCTTAATAAACCACAAACACAGTTTAGCATTTAATCTTTGTGCAGAGTAAAGACTAAATCTGATATACTTCTCGACTCATGTATATGTATATATCAGTGATAAATTATACAATTTTCAAACTGTATTATTGGTAATTTATTAAAATATGAAATTTCGGAGACACATAAATAAATTTAAATTGTTGTATTATAACATAATACTGAAATAAATTAAAATATATTAAGGTAATTATTAATTCGCTCATTCGTATAAATAAAGGATGTTTCGTTTGTTTTTAACATCACACGTTTAATATCGATTTTAAATATACCAGAATGATTGCTTCATTAATATATATGTGTATATATATATTATTATTATTATTATTATTATTAATATTATTATAATATATATATAGATNAAAAATAAAAATATTAATGCCAAAGTGATAATTAATATATAATATATATACATATATTATATATCTTAGATATATCTATTATAATATATCCTTTACTTGGCCAAAAAGTGGCCCAACATTAGAAATAGAAAAATATTATAAGACTATAGGAATCGGAGCCGCATATCAAACTCTTGAAACTGCGATATTCGAAGAAAACCTTATTTTCAAAGTACATACACATTTCGTTCTAATTTATATTTAAAAATTTGATCATAAATTAAATTCTTTAGTGCCACACAATTTTTATTTTCATCGTATGTATGTATATATATATATATATATAGAGAGAGAGAGAGAGAGAGTTATATAAATAATGCTTCTCGAATGATTAAACGAAAAGTGAAACATTTTTAAAAAAGCATTTTAGTTATGTAATAATATGCATTATTACTGGTAGTACATATACACACACACACAGCTAATTTGACATATATTCAATATATGGCGATGACATCATTTCGTCACCCTAATAATTAATTAATCAGGAGTAACCGAGACAGATATCATTATTAATTATTAGTATTAATATAATAGGAGTAATTAAACTTTTCTGTTTCCAGGTATTACCTTTGTACCTATTTTTTACCTGAGTTAAAATATGCTGCTTAAGGTGTAAAAATGATATAGCGCCGAAAAACCAAATAGAATTATTACCTATTTACCACTCGTGTTTTTTTATTTTTGTTTTATAATATGCAGTTTATTTGAAGTGTTCACATTTTTAACTTTTTAAATTATTTTTCTTTTTTCTCCTTTTTATTTTTTTTTTAGGCTTAACAAATATGTGACTACGGAGAGAAGTGCATTATTTAATGTATTATTATAAGAGATATTTTTTCTTTTCTTTTTTTTTTTCTCGGTATAAGACATTTGCATAACGAGTGAATTATATAATAATACTTTTAGGATTTAATTTTGTATAAGTATCTTATTTATTAAAAAGTATTATCTAAAATTCTATTTTTTTTTTCTTTTTTTTTTCTTTTTCATATTAAGCAATCAAACGCGAATATACTAATATATGACGCAAATACTGCAAATATTTATTAAAACCTATCTTGCACACAATCAATGCGCACTTCATAGACACATTACCTTTAAATTAAGGTACCGAAAGTACGAGGTATCGATGTGTACAAATTACACAAGAGGCGAATCATTACCAAGGTCCATTTCTTCTACAGTTATATATAGACCTTCCTCTTCGTATGTAGATTCGTGTTTCGCTAAAACTTTCAGTAATGGTCGTAATTTCATCCACCATTGATACGTCGGAATGCGATGGCTGCGAAAATATTATCAAATTATAAAACAACGCAACCAAAAATAAAATCTAACCGAATTACCCGATAGAAAATAAAGTTACTATTATTTAAAAATGAAACAGGGAAGAAGAATTACACACTTACTCGAAATCAGTAACTTCTATAAGTTCTGTGAATGGTGTGAACCTATATTGCCTTCTAACGATACCTAACATTACTGCACTAGTTGAATCAGTTGTATACGTGCGTCCTTCAGCGTTAGTACATTTCTTAAATTGCTCACTAAACCACTCGACAGCTTTAGCACCCATTTTAGTACCCAAATTACGATCGAAAGGAGTCGGTGAACCACCTTGTTGCATATGACCTTTTAAATTAAAACAAAAAAATTAATTTCTCCAATTTTTTACAACTTTACAATATCCATTTCTAGAGACATATAAAATAAATGTATATTACGTAAAATTACCGATTATATTCATCCTACAACTGAACAATCCTTTTCCTTCTTCGCTAAACAGTCTTTGCATGAAGTCAGTGTTATAATTCAAATTGGCATTTTCGTTTCTAAGAATAAGTCCTCTCTGTACACCTTCAGACATTTTAGCAGCCATTGCTATTACATCTTGATTTAAATCCTTGATATTGAACTTTTCTTCGAAGATATAAGCTGCATCAGCACCACCAGCTAGTCCTGCTACTGTTGCTAAATAGCCACAATAACCACCCATTGTTTCAATAATAAATACGCGACGTTTAGTACCTTGTGCTGATTGACGTATACGATCACAAATCTAGGAAGACGATTATCATATAAATAAAATATAAAATATTGTATAAATATTATTAAAGACTCGAGATAGTATTAGGAAATACCTCAGTAATTTCATTTAAGGCAGTATCACAGCCTAAAGAAAATTCTGTACCAGGAACATTGTTACTAATAGTAGCAGGTATCATAGCAATAGGAATTCTAAATTCTTCAAATTTGTCTCTGGCGTTATAGAACATAAGTCCTGTTTGATAACCCTATAAATAAATAAAAGTAACACCTGATCAGTAAAAAAATATATCTTTTTTTTTTTAGGACAACCTAATATTATGAAATAGATATGCTAAGAAAAAAGAATTTTGTATCAACCTCAAATCCACCAATAATAAGCAAAGCTTGAATTCCAAATTCTTTCAATTTCTGAGCGATTTGAGGTAATTGATCATCTTTTGGCGGAGCACGTTTTGTTCCTAAGTAAGCACCCCCTTGTGCTACCCATCCTGTTACCGAAGGCCAATCCATTAATTTGAATTTTCCGGACATAAGACCCAGTACACCGTCACAGACTCCATAGACCTAAATTGTTATAATTTAATTGAAAAATTTGGTCAAAATATAAAATAAATATATTTATTTTTTTTTTTTTTTATGTACCTTATCTCCTCTGTAGATGCAATTTCGTACGAAAGAACGTACTGCAGCATTCATACCGCAAGAAGGTGAACCGATATGCATAACAGCCACCGTATGATGATCCTGAAATAAAATATATAAAAATATACATATATTTATATATTTTAAATAGTAATAAAACTTCATGCTACGTGCATAGGAAAATACATTACATTTCTTTATGTTTTGTACATTCAATCTGAAATGATAATTGATATACACTGTAAATATATACATCTTTAGAACATTTTTTGTTCTTATCACAACAGGAATGTATTATTTAACAACAAATTAAGTCACTTGTCCGCACAGAGTGAGTTGCTTTTAGAAGAAAAAAGAAGAAGAAATTAGAAATTTCAAAAAAGCGTTAAACTATAAATAATCTAATGTTGAATAGAAAATGAAGCTTATAACCATTTTATTTAAATTTACCTTTGTTAATGTAGGACCATTCAATTCCTGAAGCAATATTACATAATGCGTAGATTATTAAATAATGTGTAAATATATTAATTTATGTATTTAATATATGCAGATATTTGTGTATATATATACAGAATAAAACTCGAAATAAGTGTTAGATAAAATAGTGCTTGTAAAATATTCATTATTGTATATAGAAAAATTTTTACGTTTATGATATTCTTTATTTTTATAGACTGCTATTAACAATTATTTCGCCCTGTATATAAATACTGTTTTTTATTTCATAGAATCAAAAATCTGTAAAGTTTAGAATCGCAACTACAAATAATTGTATTAATACGAGAGTTACTTATCAAGATTTTCAATTCCAATTGTAAGAGAATGTATAATAAAAAAATATTAGAATTATTACCTTAGCATTAATGTCATAATCTGCGGGTGCTTTCAATCGAGTCAACATTTTGTACGTTTCCAAGTTACGAGCGAAACCTCTGTTAAATATTATAATTATGTGAACTTACAAAATCATATGAAATCATATTCCATTGAATATTATTGAAACTATTTCATATCCCTTACTTTCCTCGAAGTTGTACTGCCAAATCCCAATTTTTATCTGCCATAGCTTTAGCTACAGCCTTTGTACGACGTACGCATTCCATGAGTGGTAATCTAACAGCTTGGTTTCCATCTAGTGTAACAACACAAGCTTCTGTTTCAGGTGTTGCTTCCATCAATGCCATTACAGCTTCTGCACCCATACGACATCCCTATAAAATATTACGAATTTCAATTTAAAAATGTCTACATATATTTATTGTACATAATAGATGCATTTAGTATTACGTATTTTAATTTATTATCAATGAGAAAAGAACATACCAACACTCTGTCGAAGGCAGATGGATTACCACCTCTTTGGACATGGCCCAACACAGTGATTCTAGTATCCTGTTGTAATTTATCAACTACAACTTTATGTACTTTTGCAGCAGTAATAGGATCGCCATTCCTGTCAACAGCACCTTCAGCAACGATTATAATATTTAATCGTTGTCCAGTAAGACGTTCCTATAAGAATATTTATTATTTAGAAAAAAAACTGTGATTACTCCTTATATTAATTGTATGTAAGAAAAAATGTGTACAATAACGATAGAAAATAATTTGCAAGCAAGTTATTAATCAATCCCAAATTATTATGAATAGCATAGAATATACGATATTTTAATAATTATAAAACACTTCTAATTTTTAAAGTTAATATCTTCAATGTTAACTTAGAAACTTTGATTGTAATTTTACATGATTTTAAGAAATCGTATATTACATTTGCTTTGTAGATGTAATGTTAGATTTTCAAATAATGGACACGAAAGCAAAAAAGGAAACAACAAACTACAAATTAACTTACCCCTTTATACGAGTAAGAAATTAAGAATAATTTATATATATTCTACTGGTACAAAGCTTTTTTATCGTTTAAACGACAAATAATATAAAACTGTAAAAAAATCTAATTTTTAATTTGTATAAAGACGCAACGTATAAAAAGAAAAAAGCGCAATAATTGAATTTTAAATAATATTGAAATAAAATAAAAATAAAAATAAAAAAAAAAACATAACATTAGCAAACCTGCAACAATTTTTTGCAGAGCTTGTTCGGCCAATCTTGCTCTGGTGGCCATTCTGGGATGAAAACAAAATCTGCTTCACAACAGATAGCTGCGACTAGAGCCAGGTAACTGTAATGGTATGCCATAAAAACTAGCTAAAGATAATGTGTACTACACTTATTAAGTACATTACCAATGACTTATTAGAGTCATAATACAAGGATTCATTTTAAATAGGATAAATGGAATTAATTGATAATGTATTCATCACTGCATTTGGCATATCGAAACATATCTTCGTATTGAATATTACTTCTTGTTTTAATATGAAATCTAGCGTTTGAAATATCTAATTGAATGTCCTTTAAAGGTAATATGGGGGCTACTTTGTATTTAATTAAAAAATTAAAATATATTTTTCTACAGTCAAAGGGATCTAACTATTTCATAGATTTTTATTATGATTTGTACGTAAATTATGTAGTTCAAAATTTGTAGAGCTGACAATTTGATCAAACATGCCTTTTGCACAGCTTCACAAACTTCGTCGACCCAATCACCTTTTGTTGGACATTCAGGAAGAAACGAATAACAAGCTTCGGTAGCCAAACTCGAGGCTATAGTTAAATACCTGAAAGCTTCTGAATTCTGATTATTTCCAATATTTTCTATTTTGATTTTTTTTTTCCCAATTGAAATGATAAATCTATGGAGTTTAGAATTTATTTGTCAAATGTAAAAAAAAGGAAACATTTATGTCCACTCGCCCTCGTGTGTCTGGATCAGAGGAGGATTTTAAATGTGGTACATGTTTGAAATATTGAAATCCATTCAGCGATTAAAGCATGATATTAAAAAATAAAAACATTTGTTGTTGTTAAGATTCTATTAGTTTAAAAGCAACAAAATGAAAAATTTGGAAAATTCATAAAACATGCCTGTTCCAACTTTTTACATAATTTTTCAGGCCAGTCGACGGGTGGTGGACATTCTGGGAAGAAAACATAGTCTGCTTCTGCAGCTAGAGCGCCCACAATGGCCAAATACCTAGCCAAATGTTAATCTTCATTTTTATATTGTACCATATAATAGAATTTGGTAACCAACACACCAATGACTAAGTCGATATTAAAAAATGTAAAGGAATATTCAAAAAAGTTGGAAACTTATATTATGGTGGGCTCTTAAGATCGATTACGACGAAAAGATAAGAAACTTTTATTACTCCTAATGACTCTTTTTAAAAATGAAGTAAATTTTGGTTGTTTTCAATTTTTATATATATATATATATATATATATATATATATTAAATTAGATATTATACATACCCGCAATGTCTACCCATAACTTCCATAATAAAAGTACGTTGATGAGAATAAGCTGTACTAACGATAGCATCAATACTTTCAATAATACGATGTAACGCTGAATCTGTTCCAATAGTCATGTCAGTTCCACAAAAGTCGTTGTCGATAGAACCCACCATACCGACGATATGTAAATACTTGTATTTTTCACTCTGTTCAGGAGTTATTTCACCTAATAAATAAATATTACATCATATAATATCGAACGATTTAATAATTATAATTAGATCTTAATCTTGTTTATGTACCATTTTTCGTAAGTTCTTTCAAAAGATCAGCCCATTCTTCTTTAAAAAGATTAGCACCAGTTAAAGAACCATCACCGCCAATAACAACTAAATTGGATATTCCATTGGTTACTAAATTCTTAGCTGCTCTTAAACGACCAGCGCGTTCTCGGAAATCTGTACATCTAGCGGATCCTATCATCGTGCCACCCTAAAGATTGACGAAATTATATTATGCTGCTAAATTGTAAATAAATTTGAAACTCTTATCAAGCATCAATTACTAACCCTATGAATAATACATGATACGGATGACCAACTTGCTTCTACTATATTACTTCCTCCATCTACCATACCTTGGTAGCCTTCTCTGATAAAAAATACTTTGCAACCAAGATATATGCCCATCCTCACGACTGCCCTTACAGCAGCATTCATACCTACAAATTAATTTTCAAGTATTATAATATGTTCTTTTTAATATCATAGAATTAAATACATTGATAATAAAATATATATTCACCTTGCGAATCACCACCACTGGTAAAGACGGCTAAGCCTTTACCCTTGTGACTCCCTGGCTTTATAAACTTGGTTTGTGGTGCTAATTCTTCCCCCATAATTGTGCCGTTAACTTGACAATCTTTCTATAAAAAAAAAAAAAGTATAAATTAAAATAAATTAATCTTTCAAAGAGGTATTTTGTGATACATTAATTGTACAAATATTTTTAGGAATCTACTTTTGTCTAGTGAAATTATTTAAAACTAATTATTTATCATTTCCTACATATCTATTTACTTAAATCAATTTTATGTTGTACATTATCACAAGAGCAAAATACTTCTGAACTCTCTCTTGACAAGTTGCAAGAATTTGATTTATCATCAGCATATGTATGTGCGATATACACATCGGATTCTTTTTTAATATCATGATTTTTATTCGACATAATTGGTTTATTATATGCAATAGATTGCATTATTGATAGAACTTGAATCGATATTACTTTTCTTCATAAGATTTATCAATGGATACAAATATTTAGTTTTTTCTTTGTCACATAAATGCTCTTGGTAATTGGTATCTATATTTGAGATTATAATTAATGATAAACACGATGCAGATTACAAAACCACGAATATATTATTAGTATTTATTTACTATTCTTTTTATAATTGTTTACAATCTATAGGATAAATTTGGAAGCATTAGAGAAGAGAGAAAAAAAAGATCTCTTCACCTTGAAACAAAAATTGTCATTGCAATCTATATCTCTAGTTTTCAGAGTAGAGTTTCTTTTGTCACAATAGAATATAATAAACGTTGCAACTTTAGCTCAATAATTTATGCATAATACCTATATAATACTTAATAGTTTAACTAATAAATTTTTACTAAATTATGATTGAATTTGAATATAATTTAATTTTCATATTCGAAAAAGTGTTTGACAAATATAAATATAATAAAAATACGAAAGACACATCCAAACAATATTTTCAAAGGATCGTTTTGATCTTCGAAATGCAATATTATTAATAAAAGAAACATTTTGGCAACATTTCAAAAAGTGGCACGTCAACAAAACGCGGAATTTTAACAGTATAATATTGATAGTAATACTAATGTATAGATGTGTATGAATAATCGTTCATTGTCGAATAAAGCTCGATTCACAACGTTTTTTTTCTCTTTTTGTGCAAATAATACAAAATATGAAATTTCAATAGTATGATATTGATAGTAATACAAATTTATGTATATATACAGTTAATAATCGTCAATATTATTGGAATAAAGTTCGGTTCACAACGTTTCTCTATCTTTTTCTGTAATGTTAATAATATGTATCAATGAAATCGTATCGATGTTAATGAACGTTCATTCAATATTAATGAATAAAATAACTGAGAAGATATTTGCATTCGAATAAATTGTACAACATTTAAAAAAGCGCTTAACGTTTTTTTCTCGAGCATAATAAACTAACTTCGATATAAATTCAAAGCGTCAAACAATTCGTGCCAACGTATATGCATGTATATGTAAAAGTAAATGTAGCCAGACGAAATATTGTGAATCGAGCTTTAATGTCAAGAGGCAAGTTAATTATCCACACCTAAGGTGGAACATTTTTGCATCATATTCAATAACAGTTTATTTGTATAATTTATAGAATTATGATTGAAATGAGAGATAAAATCGTCATTCCGAAAAACTATGTCGAAATAATTATATGTAATTGATGTTTTAAAAGGAAGAAAGTATTCAATGGCTATTACTTACTTTTAAAGAAAATTACGCTCGAATGAGCGAACTAGGCTACGATAAAACGTGCTATTCACTCACTCTCTTTCTCTCTTTCTTTCCTTCTCTCTCTTTTTTTTATTATCTTTCTTTGATAAAATGTAGCACTTGACAATGCTACAACTATCGAACCGTCAAAGACAAGACTTGCACTACGTTTGGACGGCTGAAGGTGACCTTTAAGTTCCTATGCTCTACCACTGACCCTCCTCGAGCACGTGATCCTTCACCATCCGATTCGTCCACCAATCAACGTTACCCGGCAATCATGTCAACCAATAGCGCGACGCCCTAAGCTCGCGCTGAATTCTTTGAATTGCTTATTTAAAAATTACGAGAATGCATTCCTATCAATGGTATCGTGAAAAATGATTTTTTAATACTTTTTTATCGTATCAAGTAATGTCTACTTCTCTCTCTTTCTCCCACTCTATCTCTTTTCAGACTAACATTAAGACTTGAAAGTTTTCTTTTATCAGACTTTGTATTAGGGATTAAACTCCAGTCGTGAGTCGGAACTGACACACACACTTTTTAAATTATTAGCCGTATATAAAAAAAGTTCGTATGATTTTACGTAAAGATTCCTTAATGATTAGATTATAATTTTTCTTAAAAATATATTGTACATACTCTTAAACTTTAACATTTCACTTAATATAAATATGAATGACTATTAAGACGATTATTTAATTCAAACAGTGAGTAAGTAAGCTACTCGACTGAGCCACTATATTATTTAATTAGTTATAAATAATTGAAAATACAAAAACGTTCTTTCTCATTTCTGAGTAAAGCAATGAAGTTTCCTACTGTTTTTTGTTTTCAATCAATTGTTCACTTTTTGTTTGTCCAATTTTCTCCAATATGATGTAGGTTTTTATTTTAATCTACTAAGTCTTTTTCCTGTATCTGTTCTGATGGTAACTTACCATATGTTCTGATGGTAACTTACCATCTGATCTTTCGGTCGGTAAGTCGTATTACCGACAGTAAAAAAAATGCGAAAATAAAGTAAGCAATTATGGGTTTTGAATGAGCAATTAGTGAGCAATTAACTGCAATTATTTTTTTCTTTCTGCGTTGAAAATTTTTTATTTTCGAAAAGATAAAAGTAGAGCACTACTATTACCGATATGAGGCTAAAAAATGTTACTAGATTTCAATATATTTTAAACTTTCTTATTTCCTAGTAACTTTTAATAACTAGTAATGTACACAAAGGGAATGTGTAATTAAATTTTATATACATTTAAAAACAAACAACAATTAGAAATGTTAAAGTTTAAGTATGTACAATATATTATTAAGAAAAATTATAATCTAATCAAACTTTTTTTATATACGGCTGATAATTTTAAAACATTTAGATCGTAAAGTACTGCTTTTATATAGGGTAACTGTTTAAATAGCAGACTTCGCTTTAATTTTTATTATATTTTATTATTATTATATTAGACTTCTCAGAACTATTTTCAAGCTCTACTATACGTAAGAAAGCTATTGCTCTTCTTTCATCATATATATGAAAAATACTCTTGTTGTATTCCATCTGTATAAATTTGAAACACAGGGCCCATTCTGTTTCAATTATAAAGTAACATTGATTAAAATACATTTAATAAAAGACAAAGGTTTCTTTTGGCAATCTAATGAAAATTTCAGTTAGACGATAGGGTGAGATAGGTGCGTGAAGTGGTGTTGTGGGAGGGTTGAGAGAGAGAAAGTCGATGGTAGGAGAACTCGTCGACACTTTGGTCGTCGAGGTTCGTTACGCTGCTCGCAGAAACGGTGGGAGTTTTGCCGCCCTGCTGCTGCCGCCCTCGGCAGAGATTAATTAACTAGATAACGGACGGTGGTTGCGAGAGAGCGAGAGAAAGAGAGAGAGAGAGAGAGAGGATGGAAAATCTACGGACGAGGGATGTGGAAGAATCGAGAGAGTGTCGTTTGAAGGGATTGGTAGGAGCGCATAGTAGCATGAGCATAGTAGCAGGAGAATAGTAGCAGGAGCATGGAAGGAACACAGGGTTGTTGCGAGGACGAGCTATAAGGGCTTTCCTAGCCGGACGTTCGACTCTGAAGTATATCGACTGTGTCGCCTCATCTACAAGTCAATCAGGTTTGCGTGCTGGTCGCTCGTGAAGGTGGTTGGTACAAGTAAGTAAGTAGGTAGAACTTGGTAGGTGGCTATTCTACGAGCACCATCGCTGTCGAGCGCCTTTATGCTAGCCAGGTATGCAAGTATAATGTGCTGGCGCATATATGAATGCTTATGGTAATCCAAGCGGCAGGCTCGTTTCGACGTTGACCAGGATGCCTCCTACTACCTCGACGGACCAACCCACCCCATCCCACCCCCTATCTATTCTTCCCTGCTACTATAACAACCCTCTACTACACGTCTTTAGTTACCTAACTTGTATTCCTCTACGTCATACATCGTTTCTCTACTTGATCAAGATCCTCTTAAACTTTCTTATCTTACTTCTATTATCCTAAAGAATTTCGATAGAAAATGGTAAGTGATCGTCTAGTTTCATTCACGAACGGTTTTTTCAATTGTTAACTATTCGATAGAGATCAAAAGGATACGATTAGAGTATATTAAACGAAATTCGATAAACCGTGATTTCCTTGAGTCCTTTAAAAGAAAATAAAGAGAAGTAGAGGTATCGATGCCGTGAGTCATCTTACCGTTCTCGATCGATAGGGTTAAGTTTTGTTCTGGTCGAAGTGAAGTCTAGAACCCATAGTTCCAGTTCATGAACCGAACATAATGATAGCTAGCAGCCGGTCTGACCATGGACGGGCGATCATATCGGGTCGTTAACTGATATTAATAGCAGGGCGCGGTATATCTCCACCTTCCTCACCCCCTCCTCTTTCTCTTTCTTCCCCTTATTCTCCTCTCTTCGCTCTTACACTTCATTCAACTTTTAGGGGATACCCTGTCCTCTAATTGTTACAAATTAAATCACCAGATATCAATACAAATCCCTCGAGTACGATACGCAACTTGTTATCCTCGTTTTCTCACGTCAACAAAATAACAAATCGTTACGATCGATATATATTTTTTGTTTGTCGAAACTTTTCTATCCAAATTTGAGATCGTAAAAAGAAGAGGAAGTAGTAGTATGTAGATTGAAACTCCCAATGAAATAGACACTCGCGATAGCAGGACATCACCGAGGGCATCTATTAGCTCGCGAATAAATTCTTTTTAATATGCCACACACTAACCTGTTGAATGCGTTGCGTTCGTGACAAACGGTGATTACGTTTGCTTTTCTCTTCTCAGATTCATCTTTTTCTAATGACAAAGATCGTATCGCATTGGCCAATCCGACGTTAGAAATAAAACCTAAAACGATTTTCGTATCTCGGCGAATAATATTCATTTTAGAAAAAAGAACAAGAAAAGGGATGGATTTTTTTTCAAAGTATCTTTTATACTTTTATTCAAGAATAGCTAAAACGATACTTGGGGGAGAAAAGATATTCTTGAATTAGAAAAGTGCGAATGTTTGTTTTCTATTCTGTAGTTAAAGAAAGAAAAAAAGAAAAAGAAAGAAAGGGAAAGGTTAGAAAGTGTGTTGTTCACGAAGACGGTGACTTTTGATATTTCCTGCTCCGACCATTAGCCAAGGTACAGGACAGAGAAGCGAGGTGAGGGTGGTGGTTCTCAGGGTGGTTCTCTGGGTGGTTCTCAGGGTGGACGCGAGGAAAGCCTCAGGAAGTTCTAACTCACGGGCAAGGGGGCAAGCCACCCCTGTCAAGCTGTGCCAGCCCCTACCATTAACATTAACCGAGCATATACAGGGTGTTTGCAATGGCATTATCGATCGGCCTTGTGAAAAAAGACCAGCGAATCGAGCACTCTCTCTCTCTCTCTCTCTTTCTCTCTCTTTCTCTCTTTCTGTTCGAGTCGTGCAGGAAGCACCTAGTTTACATTCACGAAAGCTAACTCGAAACGCCGATAGACTCATTTTCACGTCCTATCGTTCCTCAAACGATCTTTTCACGGTATAAGAAGTATGGAAAATCATGGATGATTTTTGATAGACCATACTTCTTCTTCTTCTTCTTCTTCTTCTTCGATGATTATTCTTGTTTGGTACGAGCCGTAAAGATAGTATATTTATTCGTGCGTAACATACAGAATGGAGAATTGCAACGACATCCCCCTAACATTCCCCGTTTCCTTAGAAAATCCTGAATCCTACATCCGTTCGGACCTTTTCGGTCATGCGTGAAGTTTCCGATCGTCCGGCGTCGACGACGACGATGCAACGAATATCCTGGGGGGTCATTCAATAAATAATCTAAGAAAATCTGTTAGAAATCTTATTCGTATATATTGAAAATCGTTGCTACCAAAAGTTAAAGAGGGTTTGGGGGGGTCTTTCGAAAATTCTTTTAAATTTCAATTAAAAGAAAAATACAAAATCAATCCTTTTTTTTTTCTTTCTTTCCCAAGAGTATCGAATGTCAACGGGATACGAGTAGGAGGAGGGTGATGGTGGTGGTGGTATCTCGAGATAATAATAAGTTACTCTCGTGTATCGTTTTTCTCTGATTGGTGATTGGTGTTAAAGAATCATGTAACTATTCGCAATGTCGATCACGCGTTGTTGGTTAACGAAGATGACGATAACGATAGATCGTGTTATCGTACGGACGTATCACGCACGCACGCATACAAATATATGGTGGTGGTGGTGATGGTGATGGTGGTCTATCGTGGACCGTATCGCGCGAATGTATCGAACGAACGTATCGAACGAACATATATACGCGTGGACGTCGTCTACCAGCCCCATGTTGGGTTTGCCAGTGCATCTATGAAAAGCATAGACCGGGCACGTGTCGCTCGTGTCGCGCCCTCCTTGTTACTGCAATGCGTGGATCAGATAATTTTCGTCTATGCTCGCGTATATACATACAAAGATCCTTTTTATTCCCTTCTCTACCGAGATTTTATACGCGACTTTTTATTAAGAGAGAGATCAGACAACAACAAAAAAGAAAACCATATATAATAGAAAGAAATATAGATTACAATATCGAGATTTATTATACACAGTATGTATATGTTGAATTATATTAATCAAAATAACTTTCTCAATTTTTAGATACAAATTTAAGATCATTTACAATCATTGACGCGAATTACGAATTAATTGCATTAAGGGAAACATTGACATTGTATTAATTATGTTTAAAAGTGATAAGAAAAAAAAAAAAAAAGAAGAAGGGGAAAAGTAGAAAATAACAATAGAGTAAAAATCTGAAATCCACAATAGTGTATACCAAGGATTTGAATCCAAAGGTCGAGAGGAAAGTTTTCTCTTTCTATCCCTGAGCCTGTTACCCCTATCGAGAGAGAGAGAAAAAGGGAGGTGGATGATCCCGCCTCTAAGGAGCTGTATCGGAGTTGGGCAAAAGGGTGGGAGAGAAGTTGCGGAGGGTTAGAGGGGTGTAGAAGGGTTTGGCAAGTCCTCCCCTCTGTATGTGATATCCCTCCGGGGGGTGGGTGGAGGGAGGAGAGGGCGTCCCGGCGCAGGCTCCGATACAGCCAATCGTCGGACCGCGAGTGATAACGACGGTGCCGAATGCGTGCGTCCGCGTCTTTGGCCAAGTCCACCGTAACCGGTGGTCCACAAGGGTTCTCCGCAAAAGCCCATTCCGCAAACGTTCCCGTTGTCTTTCCCATATCGAAATTACCTCGTGTTTTCCCTTACCTCTCTCTCTCTCTCTTTCTCTTTCAACTTGAAACTCGAAACTCCGTCCATGCACGCGAGAAATCAACTCGTGCGATAGTAAATGTGTTTTATTTTACCCCTATCTCTATCTCTCTCTTTTTCTCTTTTTCTGCCGTGTTTACGTGTGTGCATTAACAAACGCACCTGATTTTATTTCTTACCCTATTATAACATCGAATAAGTTGTTGCGTCAATCGTAAGTTTTATTTATCGATGTGAAAACTGTATTCGCGTTTCCCTTTCATCGATCTCGCGTGCTAAACCCTTTTACTCTCTTGGACTTGATAATATAACCCTCCCACCTCCTCCTTCTTGTTCTTTCTAACAACTCTCGTGTTTGTTGTGTTCTCGCGATCAGTGATTCGTGATTCTCGACGACGTTGACGACGACAACAACGACGACGACGATTAAGTTAACTTTGTTCGAGTTCGGCATACTTTCAACGACGTTACTTGACTTTAAGAGGAAGTGTTCGCGGACGTTTATCCAACCTAAATTTAGTCCTGGATTCGACAGTACTGGATAAGATAACCCGCGGTACCCCGCGTTGACGGTGAGGATTTTTTCATTTAGAATTTTTTCTTAACAAAATAATATGTAAATGGTATGTTCTCTCTCTCTCTCTCTCTCTTTTTCTCTTTTTCTCTTTTTTTATTTTTCTCGAGGTCTCTTTTTTCTCTGACGTAGAGATACGTTCGCTATTACCGGAAAGGTCTAATTGAATCAGAGTACAGGAAACGCGAGTACGAGTACGCGCGGTATCTCTTAGCGTGCCAATGAAAGAAACATACGTCGTTATCGTTTTGACTAATAATAAGATATAATAAGATTGTCCATCATTTTGTGTGGAATGATTAACAATCGTCCTCTCCATTTTACGCGAGATTTTACATTTTTAAATGAAACCACACGAATGAATAGTCTCGAAAAAAAAACAGAAAAACTTATACATACTAATTTTGATCGGATAACATTTTGTTTAATCTCACTTATATCTCGTAGTTTTGTCGTATATTTACATCGAAGTAAAAAAATCCGTATTTCTCATTTGTCGAGGAAGGAAGAAGAAAAAAATAAAATAAAATAAAAAGAAATAACGTGTCATCCAAAGAAGTTGTTGCATCTAAATCGATATAGAGATTATTCTGATTTCTTTGTATACCATTTTAGTAAACGCGTTTAAATCGGAAATCTTGAGGGTAAAAGTAATATTGGATGTGAACCAAATGATTAATCGATCCTTGATTATTATTATTATATTTTGATAAATAAAGAAAATGAACAAAAGATCAACGTTCTCGTAACGATAAAAGTTGCACGTGGTATTCACTTTGATTGATAAAAATTTGGTAAAGAAAGTACGTCTCGAATTGTTGTTAATTCGAAACTGTTGAAAAATTTTGGATGATAAATAAAATGAAATAAGAAGAGTGGCTTCTCGTTCGAAGGGAACTACTCGACTATCGGTTAACGTAGATGCACGCACGGTTAGTCGAGGTTTCTCCCTCTTTCGCATGCGAATGCGCGTCTATATCAGCGTTACCGCGACACTGCATTTAAATAGTGTGTGTAGGTACGTGCGAGAGAGAGAGTTTAGAGGAGGTAGGCTGAGGGGGGTTTCCGGCGAGCGTTAACAGAGTAACAGAGTGATGTAATGAGGCCCGGAAGCAAGCAATTTGCTGACCGCCGCGGCCACAGTTGCGCGAGACAACCTGCCCGGAGTACCTTCTTCTTGATATCGGCACCACCATCCTCCGGACTCGGATACCAACATTTCATTATTATTTTTATCAGTTTTTTTCATTCGTCGATTGATCGATTTTCGTCATTCTAAGATATAGATCTCTATCCCGTTGTTTTTATTTCTCATCTGATGATAGATCATCATCATCTAGCGTACGCGTACGATGTTCTTTTTTTTTTCTGTTTTTTTGACGTTTAACAAACTCGAGTAAATTATATTCAAACGGTCATGGAATTTAGCCAAACGTTTTTATTATACTTGGACGAGTTAACGATATCACCGTCATCTAGCGTTTTCTTTTTTCCATTTTATTATCTTTTTATTATTATTTCCCATAATTATGATCGTTAAAACGACATCGCGTCGATCGGGTGATGTGTTTTCCACGAGTTTGCGCGAATTAGGATGATACGCGTTAGTGTTATTATTAATTATATATATATCTATCTTCTGTTAGTGAAACAAGTGTTTATTTTTGAGTGTTAATTGTGTTGTAATAGTTCGTTTCGATGTCGATTGTTAGTCGATAGGATTAAATACGTGCGTCGCCAAAATTCGCGACAATCTGCCGAGAAATCGAAGGTAATCTCCGTCGGCAGTGATTAATAATACCTAACAATAATTACTATTTAAACGGTGGTCTTGTGAACTCGGATTAAATCAAAATCATGAATTCGTTCTAAATCTTATTAACAAATGCAAATATTTAAATATCACATTAAACCATTTCTCTTCTATTCCTCTAATGCGAAGCAAAATAATAATTTACGTGGATGGATGATTACATGATAAAAAAAATCACGAGGAGTGGAAAGAATAGAGGAGTATCAAGGCCACCAATTAAACAATACATCCTAAGCAATGAATCCGCGATATATTAACGCGAATACAAAATCTAATGAATTAATGCGTTAAAAAAAGTATTTTGGGTGAAATGTGTTTCAGGGGCAGTTTGGTGATGTACGACAGCGCTAGCTGTTCGTACGCAGGTGCGCTCGAATTAAAGGGAACCACCGGTAGCGGAGGTGCGGCCGGGGCCGGGGTCGGGGTTGGGTCCGGATCCGGGAGCGGAACCGGAGTCGGGGCCGGAGCCACGACCGCGGCCGCGGCCGCTGCTGCCTCTGCGGTGGTCGCGGGGGTAACCGCGACCAATGTTAAACAAGAAAACTGGACGTATCGTGGTTTAGCATGCGACAGCACCTTTCAACGGCTTAAGGAAAGTGTCAAACAAGCTAAACAAGCCTTAGCCGATCGTGCTGGTTATCTTCCCGGAGCTTTTTCGCCACCTCCGCGTGCCAACCCGTCCGCCATTTCGCCGACCGCCTCCTCCATCACCGGTGAGTGCTTCCGTATGCTTTCAATCTTTTCCCCCGAACCACCCACCCCTTCCCGTTACCAAACTCTTATGAACGCAACTTTTTTGCCTCCCAGTTGTGTTCCATTAACGATTCTGAAATATTATTCTTTCCTTGCTATACAATTGTCAACGTTTTTTTATTTCCTACTTTTGTTAAATACAATTATCTTGCTAAGCCAGACAAATTTTGTATCATTTAGATTTGAATGTTATACACAAATTGGCCTATACAATTTCTCGACAATGTTAAAATACTTTGAATAGCTTATTTTTTGTTTTGTTTTTTTTTGAAATCTTATTATATAATTTCAAAAAATAGAATACATTTCTACGTTTATATTCAGCCATAATATTTCTTGAATTTCTTAGTATATCAATTCGCGATAGAAAATAAAAGTTCCCAATGAAATGATTTTTCCTCATTACTTTGCGCGCAACTAGAGAATATTATAATATAAAAAAACAAAAGGAAATAAAAATAATAGTGTAACAGTAGAGAAAGATAAAATGAAAAATGAATGTTTCCGTATCATTGATCTTACCAAAGTTTAGAGACGATGAGATAAGAGTAGTGCAATAGAATCGCAGAATGTAATCATTTGCCAGTGTTTACCGTAGACGATAGGGGTGCGGTGGGGTGCGGTGTGGTGTGCTGTGGTGCACCGGGTTTGACTGTTGCTTTTCGCCGTCACCGATTTCCGATTGTATTTTAAAAAGCATCGGTCGCGGGAAGCATTAATTACCCGACCCGTGTAAATCACGTTATCTGTTGGCCCACGTCCCCGCGAGAAAGTAAAACTGGCTCGCCGAGAGAGAAAAAGAGAGGGAAATAGATAGGAGAAGATAAAAAAAAAAGTAAAAAAGGAAGAAGAAAGAAAGAAAGAAAAAAAAAGGCAGAGAATGAGAGGAGGAAGGGGGGTCAATACGGTGTTACACGAGAGAACCGTCGACTATTTCCTACGGTCTCTCCGATATCCTGCGTGTTCCTCCGTAATTTAAGAACGATTGGACAGTTTCGTGCTCTGCAACCGGTTGGTCCATCCTCTAAAAGCATACCACCACCACCACCACCACCACCACCACACGTCCATTCTCTTTTACGATTTTCCTCAATGGTCGTCGGTTCTAACCCATTCCTGTACGTATCCGTTTAGAAATTTTCTCTCGGAACCTATCGATATTTGCAATTCGAGGATTATAGCTGCGTTTGGTGATTACATCCCCGGTAATCGATCATTTAATTTTCCTTCGTCCTTCCTTTCTTTTTTTTTTTTACTTTCCCTCCCATTCACTATTCCTTTCCTTTTCTTTTTCTTTTTCTTTTCTTTTCTTTTCGACGAAGAAAGAAGGAAGAAATAAAAGAAACGTCGTTTGAAAATTTTGACGTAAAATCCGAATTCAGTACGTCGAGTCGAAGCAAGATGGTGGGTCGATGATGGCGGCGTAGCTTGCGAAAATGTGGATGACGAGGGGTGGAGCGGTTAGGGGTTAGCCGGGAACGTATCCATGACGACCGACCGCCCCACGAACCGGCACCCTCCGGGATTCCGGATGTTCCCCTCGACATCCCAGCATCCCTCTTTCCCTCTTCTCCTGATGCGACCATCCGCGATCACCACGTACCTCTCTGCTTCTACTCTCTCTCTCTCTCTCTCTCTCTCTCTCTGCTTCCAGGGATAGAAAAAGAGAGAGTGCATAGCCCTTTTTCAAGGGATGTGTCGGATTTAAGCTTGGATTTTAAGTCGAATTGTATCTTCTACTTACTCTAGGATAATATTTCGCAACCATTATATACAATTTATTACTTTTTTTTGTTAAGAGTTTGTAAACTTTTTGTAAACTTTGTCATCATTCCATTCTGCCGTAGTATCATCACCACATTGTTTGCCTTGCTAATTGAATGTTTGCCGAGTTGTGGCGATACGCGTGCGTAGGGAACGTGTTTGTTCGTAAACATGGGTTAACCTTTTCAACGTCTAGAAATCTATGGGTATATCTATGTTTCAACGCTTACGGTGGCAGGTTAAAAGAAAGAGCGAGGATAAAAAAGAGGTGTCGTAATACTTACCATTTAATCATGTTCTTTAATTGCACGGAATGAACGAACGAACGAGAAGTGCATAGAAGTGGTGAACCGAATCCTTTTGTTCTTTCTTTTCTTTTTGTTCCTCTTAACTCATCTAGGATGATTCTTCTTGCGCGTAGACGCGAATTATATAGGAGAATTGTTGAATAAGAGGGCGTATCAGAGAGTGACCGAAACGCGTTGATAATTGTCAGTATCGGTTAACCCGAAGGGATAGGCCAAGGGGGTAAAGTTAAGGGTAAGTTAGAAGAGTAAGTCAGTCTGAGAGAGGGAGGATGGAGAGCGGGGGGTTGGTTACGGGTGTCGGTCACCCTTCGAACTGGTCCCTAGGAGGTCTGTTCTTTTGGACCCTTTTCAGACTGCTTTTTCCCTTTTGGCCCGTAACCGTTCAGCAGTCTTTGCGCCTTGCGTCCCTTCGTTTCCGTTAAGCACCTCCACCAGCAATACCTTCTACTACTATTACAATCTCCTCAACCACTAGCTACTAGCAAGTTACTTACGACCACGGGGCACCCTTCCTTCTTCGCGGTTCGAAGGGTGACTAAGGGTCAGAACATCCTGACTATCTCTTCTAGACGAAAATAAAAAGTCGGATGAATATATTAAAATAAAGGAAACAACGGGGGAAGGGAGGGTGGCAACAACGAGATTATATATATATATCGCGAAAATATTTTCGCTTAATATTTTTTCTTTAAAAACGATTACAGTTGTTGCAGTTTAAACGATTAGTATCGGCCCTAGGAATCGCCATGAGGTCCCTTTTATCTATTCTCTATACTACGCGTTCAGCTTGACCGCGCTCGGTCGATCCGGATCTGTATGCAAGCCAGGTTTATGTCTTTCTACTCGCATTTCTCTCCTACAACTCGTTGCAGGCCCCATGACTAATCATGATAGTTCCGGCCGGGAATGGCGGGGACACACGACTCTCGGTTCCGGTTCCGGCGCGTGCTCTGCTACCCTGTTCTCTCTCTCTCTCTATCTCTATCTTTCTTTCTTTCTTGCTATTTTCCCTTCTCTCTTACCATAGCGAGTCACCCTCGTGCGCAATTATTGCGCTTCGCAACAAAGGCGGCACCGCCATGAGCGCTCGAAGAAGCACGACGTCGTTTTCTGTTGCTCCTATCGCTGCCTTTGCCTTCACCACAACCTTAACTCACTCTCCTCCTCCTCCTCCTCCTAGTCCTCCTCCTCCTCAACTTTCCCCTACTTCTCCTATCCCTTTTTATCCGCTTGATCTTCCTTATCGCCTATAGCGAACCTATTTTAACAAGTTAAAGTTCGAATGATAAAAGAACCCTGAAGGAGCTTCTTCTCATCCCCCACCTTTATCTCCTCCCCCCTATAACTCTCTCTCTCTATATTTTTTTCTTCTTCTTTTTCTTTTTCGATCTCCTTACAGCAGCGTTTTTTTCGTCTTCTTTTTCTTTTCCTTAACGTCCCTTCTTCTCAGCTTTACTCGACAACTCGCTTCTATCAACCCCCTAAGGCCGAATCATTATTCATCCTCGCGCGACCTATGGCCCACCCAGTTGACGTCGTGAAATAGCCTCGTTAAGTGCTAACTGCCACGGGAGTAGGTAACACCACAACTACGACGATGACTACACGTCTATGGTGGTGGTGGTGGTGGTAGTGGTGGGTAGTGCTCGTAATCGTGCTGGTGGCATTCACGTCGTAGAAAAAAGGAAAGGAGATCATGACTCGACGTAAACTCGCGAAAGTGCGAGCGAAATAGAAACGGGAATCTCGTTTAGGGCCCACCCTTACGTTTATTTTTGATCCTGCACGCGATCCTGCCCACCCCTTTACGCGCCCGAACCTTTCCGTTCTTTCCCTGAATCGTTCGCATGATTTCGACAATCAAACTAACGCGTGCCGATCACTTTTTTCCACGTGAGTCAGTAAATCTCTTATTCTTTCTTTTTCTATTTTTTCCTTGGATTTTTATGGAATTGGTTTTAGGTCTGATTTACGATTGCTTCATATTTCCAAATTAAATTGAATAACGTAATTCGTAGGATGAACCAATTGGATAAGTCGGGTCTCTACCTTTTGCCAAAAGTTCGGCAAAGGCTTGTGCGAAATTGGAACCGATTTCAATTCAAATACTTCAGCTATTATCATATTTATGATTTTATCGTTGTTATCATAGTTCAACAATGTAGAAAATTCGAACGATTATCGGTTAGGAAGACTGCAACGAGACTACCCGTGGATACGTCGTTCGCGTTCCTAACAATTTTCCTCCACTGTAATCCTTCGGCAAGTAGTACGAATCAATATCGAAGTCTACTTGCCAAAGCGTACGGAAGAAAATAGCATCGTGCTTTAAGAATCTTACGATAGATGGCACTGTCTTCTAACTACCCTTAAAATAGTTATAGACCGAGACGACAGATGTCTCTTCTACGTTCTCCTAATCCAAAATTGATCATATTCTGTTCAATAATTTGGATTAAAATTGTTATTATTTAATTGCAATACGTATATAAGAGTTTCGCATCGTATTAGTTAAATCATTTGTCAAAATATTTTATGCGCTACATCTTTTTTTTGAATTATTTTCTATCAAGTAAAAAACAAAAAGAGGTTTTTACTTTTATGCGATAATTGAAATTGGTAGAAAAATGTACGATATAATTAGAGTTAAATATTTAGGAACATTCGCTAGTCTCTCGAATATTATACAAAAGTTCGAAAAAGGTTGTAAGAAAAATTAGTCAAGTCGTATCAATCGACTAGTTAACGATCGGACATGACAATGGCCTGTTGAATGATCGCTTATAGTTGAAGGGTCTGAAAGTTAGTAGGCAAGCAGTAGCAGTAACAGCCACTGCCGATGATGCTGCGTAAATGTCGAAAAAAGAAGGAAGAGAGAAAAGTCATTA